ATTAACAGTTAATAATTTATAAGAATTAAAAAAAAAAAGTAAAGAACCCTTTTCTACGCCTTTAGGCATATAGGTAAAAAAAAAAGTAAAGTTCCCTTTTCACGCCTTTCGGCGCATCGGGCATATGGGCAGAGCGTCCCATATTTTTACAGACCATCAGCACTCTGTGGGTAATGTGGTCAGCATTACGATGGCTGTCTTTACTTTCCCAGGACAGCCCATCCTGGTACCCATTTTAGGCTGGGTCGACCTGCGACGTCCCATACCACAACAAAAATCCACGCAGCCTGCAGTGGGTTTCGATCGCGGTATGCTGGCTTACGAGTCGGACTCGCATCGCCTTAGCCACGGACGCCTTAGGCATATAGGGCTAGACCTATATTTTTATAGACCAATTGGCACAAGATGGGTAATGTGGTCAGCATCACGCCAGCCGCCTTTACTTCCCGGGACTGCACCCGGTACCCACTCAAGGCTGGGTCGACATAGGAGCCAGGGTCATTTTTGAAAATAGTCCGGCTCCGCCAGGGAGCGAACCCACGACCTTCTGATCCGCGGCGAGCGTCTGGCTGCTCTACCACTTCGACCCCCATTTATAAGAATAATACAATTTAAATGCAATTCAGAAACATTAGTGATATGTTGTTGCTCTCAGATTTAGACAAGAGGGGACACATGCTGCGGAAACAGTTTGCATGGAAATAATCACCCGTGGCGTTACTGTCCCAGAAAACTGTTTTTTTCTTTCTTTCTTTTTAGGTCAGGTCTGCAGTGAACTCTATGCACAGTACTGGTAAGCTGTGCTGTATGAAATCTATAATAAAATGTTTGATAATTAAGTTACAGTGATAAAATTATTTGTCATTGCAGCCTCATGAAGATGGACCACTGTTTTACCCAACTGTATCCACTATTAGCCTTGGGTCACACACAGTGTTAGATTTTTACTACCACATTCAACAGAGTCAAGCAACTACACAAGGTGAGAGTGAAGTCCAGCCTGTACATGAATGCTTGGAATCAGATCATTCGGATGTTTCGGATAACCTTCATTCTTCCCTCGAGGACCGTTACTTTTTATCCATCCTTCTGGAACCAAGGAGTTTAATTTTAGTTTGTGATGATATGTATAAAATTCACCTCCATGGTATTGCTGAAAGAACAACGGATGTGGTATCTGATAAAATAGCAAACATAACAGCCATTTCCGCAACAGAAGGTGATGTCTTAGAAAGGAAAACTAGAGTGTCTCTTACAATCCGGTATGTACCAAAAATATTAAAGGCTAAATTTCTGTTTGGTAAATGATGCCATTTTTCAGTTTGGATTCTAAAATATCTAAATAAATTGAAAGATGTTATACTTATACAGTTGCAGTGTCTTTATGTGCTGCTGAATATATCAGAATTAACATTCAAATTGTAAACTGTGTCAAGTGCTAAATTTTGTGTATTTGGGGTTAGTATTAAATCTTCAAGAAGAAAGCAAGGAGAGCATTCATTTGTATGCCTTCAGACACAGTGGGTATTTAATGCGTGCCTCAAATGTAATACAAGGTCTGACAAGTAATGAGACTGATTTTATCATGGCCAAGACCAAAATGCCATCTATGAAGCAAAGCATGGAATCTAAAGAGGCAACATTTATCTATGATCTGGCAACTTCTCATCGCCGCTCGATAAGCAGACAACAAACAAGCAAACATTAAATTCTTTTAAAACTCAGAAAAAGCGCCATTGAAACAGTTGAATTGATGCAACCAGTTTATTGGGATAATTGTTTATCTCGTGCACGCATTTTCTGGTGGTATTCATGATTTAAAAGTGGTGTGGAAATGATTACTAATGCACCTAGACCTAGACGTCAAATTTCTGTTCGTAATGATGAAAAGTCAGAGAACGGATACAATTAGATCATTGTTTTACTGTGAGGATGATGGCTGATGAATCTGGTATTAACAGAGAGACCATTCACAACATTTTAATGCAAGATTTTTGCAAGAAATAAAATTGCTTGCCGGTTTGTACCACATTCGTTGTCTAATGACCAAAAACATCAGTGGGTTGAGTACCCAAGGGACATTATCAAAACAAGAATTTTTGGCCCAAAAACAAGTGTGCGTTCTCAGCTTTCCACCCTATTCCACAGATTTGTCTTCCTGTGATTATTTTCTATTCCTAAAATTAAAGTTACCATTGAAAGGACGTTTTTTAAATGATATTGATGACATCCAAAGGGCCGTAACATCGACTTTGAGGGCCATCACAACAGAAGAACTACAGAGGTTGTTCCAGTGTTTGTTTGATCGTGCCACTTGCTTTATCAATGCATAAGGGGCTTACTTTGAATCAGATACAGGTTATATCTTTAACTGTTGATTATTTTAATTTTTATGGAATTAGTCTCATTACTTAATTGTCTGACCTTGTAGCACACCAGGCAAATTTTATTAGTGATGTGGTCACACATGGACACAAGATGTTTTAATTGAATAAAGTATTTGCTAAATACAGATAAGAAAACCCACAAAACACAAATCAGTGTATGAGAACATGTAAAAAATACACACACCAATAAAAAATGTGAACCAAAAAGCATAATGAGGGCGCATACAATAAATAAATAGCTTTCTCACTTTTAATAAATTTATTGTCTAAATATGAAGTGTGTTGTGCTGCTTAATTTCACTGTATCATCTAGTATTTTGTACATCTGGTTAGGTTTTATTGATCTTTACTTGCAAAATTATGCCAAGTTAACTGACATCACCTGGTCAACAGTACTAGTGTCTAGCACTGTAAAAACATAATAGTTCATGAATATGCGGGGTTTTATTTATTTATATTTTATGTGGTGATTTATTAGTTCATTCATGCAGCAGTTCTGACCAGCCAGGCATAAATAGCAAAGTGGGTGCCAGGAGTGCAAATCAATGTGCACATCAGAAAACAAGATTTAAAAAAAACAAAAGGCTAACAAGAGACCATTTTATGTGTGTTTAATCCGCATTTACTTTACTTTGAAAACATATCTGTGAAAACACAATGCAAATGCATATAAGACTGTACATACATAACATAACCCTTGACTTGTTAGGGTCGTGGAGGTGTATTGATGGATAGCACTAAAACCCGCCATCTTTCTGTCTTCTGCTTGATGAATAAGTTAATGATAACTTAGTCCTGTCCATTTTGTGATGTCATTCCAGGTTCTTCTTTGCCCTCCTTTTTTTCAACTACAACCCTGCCCCCTCTCCCCCGCAATTTTCCTTGAAGTACAGTCTTTGCAATCGAACCATGTCTGACCACGTGCCCAAACCAAGCTAGCTTGCAACATTTCACCACTACCAAGAGAAGCTCCTGATGTCCCGCAAATTCGTATATTTTGTCTCTGACCTATTTGTTAGTTTTATGTTCTAAATAACTAATTCGTAAAATGTGTCTGTAGCATTTAAATTCGAAAGCCTGAATCCTCCTTTCCATTTCCACAGTGAGAGTCCAACTCTCACACCTGTACAAAAAAACTGACAACGCAAGTGATTTGTAAATAGTGACAGTAGTCTCCTTCAAATACATCTGCTATGTTATATAAAAGAGGTATAGCAGAAACTGCCAAAAGTGGTGGGGGGAAAATAACAGAACTAATAGAGACTATCTACATCTGTGGAGAGACATTTATACTAGTGCCTTTAGAAAGTCAAATGATGATGAACTTTTCATTAGGAGCCATGGCAGCATAATAGTGAATTTTTTTTAATTGATACGGAGCTGATGTTGACAGTCTCATAAGATGAGCACTAGATCATGCTCAGAACTGTCTGGGAAGGAAAGGGTATGTGAGAGGGAACTGGTTAGCTGGTCTCAATAAGCAAGAGCTAAGAATACGTTCAGTAAAGTACAAAATATTCAAACCCCAATGGCAGTATCTGCCGCAGGACAGTAAGTATAGTAAAAGTAAAGGACCCTTTTCCACGCCTTAAAGCATATAGGGCTAGACCTATATTTTCAAAGACCAATCGGCACAAGATGGGTGATGTGGTCAGCATCACGCAGGCCCCTTAGGACAGCCTATGCTGTAAACTCTTCATGTCCACTTTCAGATGTAGAATTATGGAGAATAGAGAGAGAAGCAACATCAAAATTCATAATCCATTTAAATCACTACTAATTACTGTCATCATGAGGGTTAATGGACCGCAGTGCCCCGTATAGAGAGGCAGATAACAGAAAAATAACAACTATACAAAAGAGTTTAAATGGGAATAGACCACGAGACAGACTAAGCAGACGTGTGTGAGAGAATATGTAGGCAGACCTACAAACATTTAGAGTCACCAACTGGCAAGAGAAAAGCCATCACAGAGATGCTGGAGGTGGGTGAAATCTGCAGCAATAAACCTCAAGGGCTTAGAATGCTGTAGAAAAAGATATAGTACACCTCAGTACAGCTGTATTGTCTTTGGCGTTTTTTACACTCTGCTGAATACTTTCTTAATTTGTCAGTGCCAGCGAGATTCCCACAGGATGAAACCTGGTATATACATATGACCGCTGTATTGTATGTATGATTGCTGTGTTGTGCGCATTCTGCTGACCCACTAAAGAGACAATCTTACCATATCACATATACAATTCATCATCATCATCATGTAGCAGGTCCTTTGCAGAACGTCGCTCTCATCACAGTCTGCCTGAAAGAAACTCGGTCTCTCGCCAAATGTACTTTCATACTCAAGGAGTCACTTATATCCTGTGCCCATCTTCGTGTCGGTCAGCCCCTGCCCCCCTTCCTGGTAAAAAATTGTTGACCAAAATATTTCAGCTTCCGAGACAGGATGCTGTTTATTAGCCAATCTTCCTTTATTATTTACAAATTTAAAACACATAATCACACATACATTATTATCCAGTAACTGTCATTACTATGAGAACACCATTTAACCAGCTCTTTCAGCTTTCATACATTCATGAAAGATATCAACACAAATGTTTTGGTGTGAATCATGAACTCTGCTTTGTATCTGGAGGAGGCTCCTGTCCCTTGTCTAGACTTGCCTTAAATTTTAAATAGTCACGTCTCTTGTCAAAGTAACTCACCTAAACCAGAAAGGAAAAAAGTGTATAATTTATATGATAATTAATTATGAGTATGATGCAATATGGTCTTTATGCTGATTTATGTTTATGAAAATGATTATTATAGTAACAATATTTTGTGGCTTAGAGTTTTCTTTCTGAGATTCTTCAGTTGGTTAATGTTTCTTCTTCAAGATTCACCCTTCAAAGGGTGGTTGCCACGATGTGTTGTGATTTATAGCTAGGCTGTGATATCTGCACTCTTTTAGCCTTACTGATCTAAAGTCAGCAAATCCCTAATTAATCGCCCTGGAACCCACACAGGATGTTAATGTTAACAGGAATGAAAGGAATTTTCAATAAACATGTGATATTAATAATGATGACATAATCAAAACTTAAACTACCTGAAACCTGCAACTATCCATCAAAGATAAAACTGTATGAAACAAATATTAAAGCATTCAAACTAAATTTCTGAAGCAATTTATTTTGTGCCATGAAGTGGCAAACTATATCACAAATTTAAACCCCATTAACAATAGCCAGGAAAATGTCAGAGATATTGACCAAAAGGTACAATTATCAAAGCTATGCTTTAAACATGCACAACAGAAAAATGCTCAAGATACGATGCTGGATGAATGCAGATGCAGAAGTGTCATAAGATTTTAGAATTACCACTCTTAAACCAACGCATCAAATTAAAACATCCATCAGCTAAATGACACACTGAATAATATGACATATTATTTGTAGCTTAGCTATAAGACTAAGTTTGTTTTTTTAATGGCCATAAGTAAAGCTCATACTTGAAGGTAAAGTTAATATTTTCTCTAGGTCACCTCTTTCTCTGATGCTGGAAGAGTTATGCTTCTGTCATACTTCAAACATTCACCTTCAAGCTAATCATCATCATCATGTGCCATGCTAATAAAAATCAGATTAATAAAACAAGGCCACCATATTTCACCAACTCACATGATCACTGAAATCATGGATCAGGTCAGTGTTCTTATCCCTTTTTTCGGGGGCCGGTTAGCGCAGTCGATAAGAAGCTCGCTTTCTAATTCAGCTGCTACTCGCTGCAGCCCACGGTGGGTGTTCAAAATCGAGCGTTTCCCTTGGTTCACCCAGCCTCTAGGAAATGGGTACCAGAGTTGACACTCTGGGGTAAATGGAATAACGTCACTGTAGCTACAGAGTTACATGCGGACGGCGACACAGGCAGACAATTCTTCTTATCAGCTGTCCATACTGGTGGCAAAGCACTTATGGTTTATAACCGTGTGCAATGACACTGGTCCATATCTCCCGACTTTTCCTTTTTATCCCTTTTTTGTAAAAATATTCTAATGCTGCCGCCTTGTTTATCTTTGACACCTATTGTCAGTCCTATCCAGGGAAGTTATTCAAACAGCCTGAAGAGTAAGTTGATAACTGCAAGAATCAGATGTAACAGCTTCTCCTTAAACTCTGATGGTGTAAAAAAAAATGTTTTCAGCTCACAAACATGGGAGAAAACATAATTTTATATGAATAAACTTGTACACAGAAAAATAGGGTTTGTATCAGTACAGAGGAGTTTTTGCAGTGAAGTGGTACGCCTTATCCTCATGTGGTCATCTCATGGATGCTTCATTTGGTTGACAATTTGTGTGTGGGTGGGATTGCCACCTGAGCTACGGGCTTTGTGCAATCCTAGCAGCAAGCTGTTATGAAGAGAAAAGACTGGGCCATACAAGATAAAACCTGGTACCAAAGGACCCACTTTTAACTTAGCAACATCTTTTTCACACATATATTAATTTCCTGATTAACTATGAGTTGTCCTTGGACCTTCAAACAGAGAGCTTCCATAAGAGCAAACCTGCACACACATTCATGGAGTCTGTGGGTGTGGCAGGGCACACAGGATTTGCATTTTTGATTAGCTTAGACAAGGTAGGTAGGTAGACAAATTTTACCCCAGGACATTTTACAGGACATCACACAGAGCCATAAACACCCGGTGACACAAAGTGCCACCATGCCGATGAGGGTCACCCGTGAAGAGGTCCCGGAAACCGCATTCAACCATAAGGCTATAATTGCTGCCCCTTGCAACAGTCACAGTTGGGCTTCAACATAACGAAAAATTGCATCCCTAAAGGGGGATGACTAAGATAATGTAGCAGCACTACAAGTAAATAACATTAATATAAATAATTACCACAAGGCATATACCAAAATAGAAGGACGTAAAGCAATAGGTAGACCAAGAAGATGGGAAGAAAACATCAGAGAAACTCTACAGCACCACGATGTGTCTATGGTCGTAGCAGCCAGAAGAGCACGAGGCAGGACCTTATATCTCCTTTGACACCCGAAACGGTAAAAGAGGACGTAACGAAAAAGAAAAATGACCACTACCTTACCCATTGTTTTATGCAACTTGACTCGTACTCTTTACGTTCCTTTCCACATTTCGATGTATCATCATTATTATCTGTGAGGCACTGCCAGTAGGCATCCTTTGATGCCCAGCATTTTTGCCTTTCCTCCTGTTTAGGAAAGGGCATTTTCTACTTCCAATCTAATTAAGTGAAAAGAACAAAAATGTAAATTACATCTGTATTATAAATGTTCAATATCTAATCTTACTGGTTCTTTAAATGATGAATTGTCCAAAACAGTTCTATCATTTGCATAGCAAACACACACACATCTCCCCCCCCCACCCCCCCCCACCCACCCCCCCCCCCCCCCCCCCCCCTTTCCTTTATGAAGCCTTATTGCTAACTTTTGAGAGCAGTCTCACAACAAAATATTTAATCCAAGCAAGATGAAAATAGTGTATAATGCAGACTGAGAAGTAACAAAAAAATTTATAATCTGTTTATATCACCAATAATTACTGGCATCATAAGAGGTAATAGAACTGCAATGGTTCAGGTACACAGAGAGCTTACAATTAAAATTAAAAAAACAGTATACCAAAAAGAGTTGACTGGGAGTAGATCACAGGGCAGACTAAGAAGATGGTTGAGAGATAACTTTCAGGTGGACCTATACACATTTAGGAGACATCAACTGGAAGGAGAAGGCCAGTCACAGAGATGAATGGATGTGGGTGACATCTGCAGCAATCAACCTCAAGAACTTGGAAGGCTAAATAAGAAGATATTGCATGAAGATGACTACAGAGTATTCCAACATGCATCAGTTTAAGCTGGAGAACCACTAAAGACTTGACACCATATTTAACTTTTGAAATCAAATGCTTGAGTAACATGATAAACATTAAATTAATAAATTCAAGAGAGCTACAGAAACCACAGAAAGAAGATGGTTTTATACTAGATGAAGTTAACATTAAATCACAAAACACATTTTGAAATAAGAAACAAATGGACCTAGGAAGTGACAAAAAATCCTTTTCTGAAGTAGCTGCGAGAAGCCAGAGGTATAAACTAGATTCTATACATGATACTGAAAAGATTGCACCACCCTATCATTAGTGGTGGTGCATGTTTTAATTTATTTAAAGCCGCTTCTTTCCTTTCCATTATTTATTTAATCTTACTACTTATATAGAGGCTACCATTAAAAATTAATATGAAAAATGCACCACCACAGCATTAATTTGAAACTAAATGTGACATATAGGGTGACAATAAAAGTTCCTATGTGGTAAATACCCATGTCGAAAACAATTATAAGCATCAAGGTCTTCACTGAAAATACCGTGCTGTGTGATTTAGCCTGACATGTTCTTCGGTTGCATATGATATTGTATGACCTACTCAAGAAGACAATCAGAGCTTAGGGACTGCTTTGCTTGCTATTCATTATCTATCTTCTTTTACCCCACCACGACATCACACAAGCAATAAACACCTGATGACACAAAGTGCCACCATGTGGATGAGGATCACCTGTGGAGAGGTCCCAGAAACCGCGTTCAGCCCATATTTATGGCCGGTATATACTGTCTCCCCTCCTTAATCCCTTTATATCCCATTTTAATGTCTGTTTGGTGAATCTTTGCTGGTTTATTCTCAGGATGTATTCAATGTAGCACTATATCTCTGTCGCTTTTGGGAATCAGTTATTCATACGGTGAGTTAGCAGTTCTTTAGAGATAGTTCACTTATTTCACTACTTCCCTCTTTACTATGCCCTGCAGATGCCTAGCAAGTGGCCCACCTCTGCCAATTGTATTGTATTAATGCTCTTCAAATGCTAGGGTTCTGGCCCACGATGATCCCAATTTTCAACATTTTGCTCCTGAGGGAACCTAGTTGAATTGCCCTGACATAGATAATGTACTAAAATAAAGAAAAATTTCTTTTAAGTAGAGTTCACTTGCTGCAAACTTCCTCACAAAGTTCTGATTTTTCATTCACTTCAGGAATTCGGTTTTGTCCCTAAGATATTTTGCATGCACAAACACTTAAGTATTGTATAGACCTGGCTCATATTTGTATGCAGACTGTTGGTTCCTCGCCTCTCAGGCAGGTGCACTTACTTCAAAGGAAACAACCTATAATTAGTCGCCTTCTAGGTTATGCTCATATGGTGGCATTTGGGTATATATTCCCCCCCCCCCCTCCCCACCGGAATCTACACGGGAAAAGAATAATTTTAAATCATTTTAATTAAAAAGTACACTAACCTTCCTACTTTCGCTTTTAGTTTTACCTAACAAAACAACTTCGTCTGCTGACAAGGTTATGAGGTGTTAACCCACCAAAAAAGCACGTCTTGGTGAAACTATTATCACTTCGACGTGATCTGCTTCATCGAGAACCCTGCCTCGTAGCAATTTATGGTTGGTAATATTAAAACTATAAGGTTCGTGAATGTTTAGAATGGTAGCTCTAAGCTAGTAGTAGTAGACTTGATAGTTTGTAGTTAACTTTGTAACAATGAAAGGAACAGGAAACAGCGCGGTTAACGCATGCGCAATGATACCCTCCTAATCATTATCTTGAAGAAAACAGAATAGGTCCTGCTGCCGTAGTGTGGACTATGGTTCTACAAGAGGGCAAGCCAACATGTTCTCACTCACCGTCTTGATAAATCCAAACTAACTATCACTTTCGAATTTTATTTTGTAATTTCACAAGACTTGGATGGCTTGTCCACCACAGGAGAGCGAACCATGTTCGAACCTTCATGACAGTCTTTTTAGTAATTGTGACTTTACTGACAAGGTTGAATTAAATGTCGCTGTTTGCAGGTCCTGTAACTTAAAGTGTGTTGAAGACGATGGTGCCGACGTGAAGCCGTATAGCTGTCGTTTGCAGTCTGAGAATGGATTTGAATTTTCAGAGAAAGCGTCAGAAAATCAAAAATCGTTGAAATGCAGTCATATTCACGGCGAATTGCGAACGTTGTCAGCCTGTCACCACAACAATGACAAACACGACCACAGAAAAGTTATAACGCCAAAATGTCTAGAGAAAGTTAACGGTGTTACGCATATGTACCACCTTCCCGGTGACAACAATGCAGGAGGTGAACTGATTCTCGTTGACCTACTGAACACAAGAAAAGGAGAAGCCGCAGACACTGAAAACCATAGTTTTAGTGGAGATTCAGGACGGGGATCAGGAAGTGCATGTCAGTGCACAGAGAATGACTGTGACGATGATGATGTATCCTGTGATGAAATCGAAGCAGAAAAGATATGCTCATCTGAAGTGCATAGTAATACTCACCATAATGAGGTGGACGCATTATTAAATGACTTAGAGAAGACGTCTTTAGATCAGCTAAGTCCTTGTGAACATTGTCCAGCTTTGGATAATGCGATCAGTGATGTAACTTACACCGTTTATGAATCGGAGAAACAGATGCCAGATATCATGAGACTGATTACAAGAGACTTGTCAGAACCGTATTCAATATATACATACAGATATTTTATCCACAACTGGCCAAGGTTATGTTTCCTTGTGAGTGCAATTTCTTTCTAATTACAGTACACAGTAATGACTAATATTAAAAACACATATTTCAGTAAACAATCCTACTTTACTATTGCCTAGTGACTAGTGATGACCATTATTAATTTTGTTTTATTGACACACATTTGTAAGTGTCACTGCTATGACAAAAAAGGTGCTTATTTCACAGTCTTAATATTGAAGAATGTTTACCAATATCAGTAATGGGTGTTCCCCATTTGGGTTCTGGAGCTCCATTGTGAGTAAAGCAAGAATAGACCCACTGAAGATAAATCTTCAGGTTCACCCCCCCCCCCCCCCCCACCAATCCTCCACATGGTAAATACAGGTTGTAAAAGTAGTTTTGTTTTGTTAAAGGGCTTGGTGTGAGTTAATTGGAATTTACATTCCATTGAGAGATGAAAGGAAGGAGGAAAAAGTTAAAAGATGGGAGGATCAACTTCATTGCACTGTTTTTTATACCATATGGCTCAGTCCCTCTCTACAGAACGGCTAGCCATCTGCTTAGAGCACCGCCACACAAAGCACAAACTTCATATATGCAGCAGCGATCCCTAGGGATCACTAAAAATTGCACTTGTGAACCGAACAACGCTACCTTGAAAAAACCCACGACCTTCAGGGTTAGAACTGTTTTTCTGATACAAATGTAAATAATGAGGACACAATATACAGTGGAACCACAGGATATAAGTTTTTCAGAATACTAGGCCTGGTTTGGCAAATTTTTTCCCCCCATAATACGAGGCAAAATCCAGGCTGCGAGCACAGAGGTGAGATCTCGTGACGTTACCTGACAACATCTCAATAATGTTTCAATGGTTTAGGTCACCTAAGCATTTCTGAAGGACGACTCAAGTCAATGGACAAATCACTTGATGATGATGCAACACATTTTCTGCATTACCAAAATGAAAAATGTCATTTTGAAACTAAACGGGTCATTTTTGGAGGCAAGAACAAAATTTAATTATTTAAATTATTTTAATGGGGAAAATAGTATCAGGATATAAGTTATTTACTATACAAGCTGTTATGGAACGGGCTAAGTTCATTTTGTGAAGTTCCATTGTGTTGCAAAATTTATTGCGATATTTTGAGATTGCTTAGTTGAGTAGCAACACTGTTTATAAGAACCTTAGTTGAGTAGCAAACACTGATTATAAGAACCTTAGTTGAGTAGCAAACATTGATTATAACAAACCTTAGTTGAGTAGCAAACATTGATTATAAGAACCTTAGTTGAGTAGCAAACACTGATTATAAGAACCTTAGTTGAGTAGCAAACACTGATTATAAGAACCTTAGTTGAGTAGCAAACACTGATTATAAGAACCTTAGTTGAGTAGCAAACGCTGATTATAACAAACCTTAGTTGAGTAGCAAACACTGATTATAAGAACCTTAGTTGAGTAGCAAACACTGATTATAACAAACCTTAGTTGAGTAGCAAACACTGATTATAAGAACCTTAGTTGAGTAGCAAACACTGATTATAAGAACCTTAGTTGAGTAGCAAACACTGATTATAAGAACCTTAGTTGAGTAGCAAACACCGATTATAACAAACCTTAGTTGAGTAGCAAACACTGATTATAAGAACATAACTGTCAAACTGGCCAAGTTGTTAGAGCCCTGGGCTCTCGTGCAGTAGACCCTGTTCAGTCCTCAGTAAGAGATTTATTTATTTATTTCAGTTGGTGGCAAAAATAAAACTGCTAGCCTGCACGGTGTGTGGCAGCTACATGTGACCTGAAGTCCTCATGCTCACTGCGACACCAACCCAATCCCCTTTTTCCTATTTTCTCTCTGCCCTACGCCTTCCCAAAAGTGGTAAATGTAGGCAGTAAGGAAGTAAAACTGTCAGAATATTATATATATTAGTGTTGTTTCATTCCAGGCCATATGTGATAATCAGTTTGTTGGGGCTATAGTCTGCAAGCTGGACTTGCACAAAAAAATGGTGCGGAGAGGATACATTGCCATGCTGGCTGTTGATTCTGAATTCAGGCGAAGAAAAATAGGTCAGGCTCATTTTGTGTGTTGTGTTTAGTTTGTATGTTCTACGCATTGCTATATTTTCCATTCTACAGATTTCAGGAATACTACCAGATCACGTTTTTGTGTGTCTGTTTTGCAGTTGCTACTGCTCTTGCATGTGGTGGGGAATTTTGGAAGGTGAAATGGACAAATAATAATAAAAAATTTATATAAAAAGAGTTTTAGGTAGTGGACATGTAGTTTCTAAGGTTAAATTTGCAAACACGGTATCAAATTGTTGAAACTATCAACATTTGCATGGTAAAGACTAAGAGGGATAGACTATTACTTGCAAAAAAAAATTAGAGACAGATAAATTGTGTTCTTTGGTTATGTGATGATAGCAGTTTTGGAGAAAAAAGATGATGACTGGAAAGTTCATTGGTAGAAAATGCAGCCTGAGACAAATGATGCTCTGAAATAGTGATATGGGGGAATGTAATCAGTAGAGTTGATCCAGATCATCAGCGACAGATCTGTGGAATAGAATAGTACCTACTATTTCGAACAATGCACCTGATGTTGATTCTTTATTAAAGACTGGCTGCCTCATGCAGTGGAAAACATAAGCTGCAAAATCTGTCGGTGCTAAAGAAAAATAAGAAAGAATCAGTTGGTTCAGGACTTGTTTCATTGGGAGCTTTAAGAAGTGGACACAGAAGAATACATTTTAAGTTAGTTTGTTAAAATGTTTTTTTTTTTTTTTTTTTTTTTGCGTTTAACGGCTGTGAATTCCAGCAGAAGGTCACGGTTAATCGTCCGCTTGGACTTTTGGCTTTCACCCGGACCTGACTTTTGCGTGTACAACCGTTTTAATGTTCACTGCCTCATGGGCAGCTGGACTTCGAAGGAAATTTTTAAAATGTTAACTTAGAAGAAGAAAAAGTTAACCTAAAGTTTTGATAAATTGTTAAACCTAAAGTTGATAGTGGAGTGTGTGTGTATTCATAATTATTTCAGTTTCTGAAATATTGGGGGGGGGGTAATTAAAAAAAAAAATTGGTTAGTGAATAAATAATAATGTAATATGTAATCTTGCTTCACACATGCATTTTTCATCACATAACAATAAAACTTTCTTAAATTAATATTGCAAGGTTTTTTTCAGGGCTATTGAACTAAGTTTTTACCCAGGTGCCAAAATGTTCAAAATAGGCATTGTCACAGGCCAGAGGTTTGAGCTGCAGCCTAGAAAGATCATTCATACAATACAGTTAGCTGTAAATCCATGGGCCACTTGCTAGGCCTCTTATTATTTGTTACTTCTGTCTGTGTAGACGTCCTAACACATCAGTGTAACCCATTTGTGCTCCGTCTGATGCAGCAGCCATCTCATTGCCATGTTTAACCTACCGTTTAGGATTTGACTGGCATTCTTCTTTCTTTGTCCCCCAACTGTTGTTTGTTGTTGCTTACTTGTCCCCATGTAATACCTGTCTCCAAAAGGTAGTTCATCATTTTTGTCTCAGTGTCTGTGGAATGCAGTGCATTCAGTTTGTCCACCGTGTTCAAACTTCTTCCACTAACCACTACAGACATAGCCAATCTCTTGGCTCTTTCATTTCCTTTCACCTTGGTATGTACAGCCACGATAGTTTCTTGGAACTTTTGGATACAGTCAGCCCATTCTGTAGGAATTTGCCAGTTTGGATCTTAAGTATGCCTGTCACTGTAAGTGTGAGAGTTGCTTTCTGTTCCGCCAGCCTTGCAAATTCCCCTATGACAGCTGAATAGCCTTGGGCTAGTTTAGTGTAAGAAAACCAGCTTAGTTTTAGCTATGTGCTTGGAACAGTACACTAGATGACAAATCTTATGGGGTTGATGTATACATGCCCTCAATAATTGATTGTAATAGCATGCCACCACAATTTACACATGTACCAAATCATGTTAGGTATCGATTGTTCATCCCCATAGATTCTATATTTAAAGCTTGTTGCATTAAGTAAAAGAAAATAGGAATGACTGCTGTTAAGCAGATCTGAACAGAGATCAATATTCAGCATTCTTTCATCACACAGTTTGCATATCTGGCCTAGCAATTAGTGTGCTGAACTCTCGTTGGGATACCTTGGTTCACCATGTGGGTTCGGGAGCCCCATTTGTGGGGAAAACTAAAATATACCCACTGCCTCACCAAAGGCATGGACTAATTTCGTGGCACCCTTCATTGTCATACATCTGCTTTAGAGGAAAGGAACCAAGAGTCTGCAAACAAAAAAACTAGATGTGTGAAACTGATGTGCATGCAGCTAAAGTTCTGGAACAAGTCTTGAAGTCGGGAGGTGGACAAACGTCCAGTACTTTTCGTTGGAGTTTACAGCCAGTGAACACGAAGGAGAAATCCTTGGTAAGCTAATGGAAACTTTTCCTTCATTGACAATATAGTGCTAACCTGTGCAGTTTGTGGCAACTGTACTAGCTTTGCGCCCTGAAATCCTGAGGCTCAATACCTCTCTGTCCTACACTGCCCTAAAAAAGGAGCGTAAGAAGAACAGTAAAAATCAAGTTCTCTTTAAATGTATCTCTGCTTTTTTCCCTTTTATTTCACATCTGAAAATGTCTCCCTACACCGTTTTCTCTTTTTTTATGAATTTTCACATGCCAAACAATGTACGAAAAATGTCTTTGATGTTGACAGGATCTACCTTGGTGACCAAAGCAATTGAAGCAATGATGAGAGATGATTGCGATGAGGTGAGTAACCTGTTATGGCCATGCAGCTGTATCTTTCTTTTCCATATTTGTTTGTGTTGTGTGAAAACAGTAGAACATGTTGTGTTGCTTTTATGAAGATATTTAGATCTATAAAATGAGGAATGCAGTGTTACAAAAAAAAATATTTATAATGAAGAATATTTTGTTTAAAATATATCAAAAGAAGGACTGTTTTGTTGTTATATATCTTCGTCTGTAAATGTTAATAGTACAGTCCTTAACTCTTTGAGTCCCAAGGAACGTATCATACGTTCATAGGTTCCTACCTAGAAGCCCAATGAACACATGATGCGCCGATTTTATTACTTTCTTTACTACCCACTGGGCCTGTGATGCTAAACCCCCTGGGACTCAAAAGAGTTAACATTGAAATTCTGTAAATCTGTCTTTACTACTTCTGATTGTCTATCCTTGATTGGTGATAAGGGACATATTGTTACAAAAATTTATAAAATAGTAATTTTGTTCTTACAAAGATCCTTTCATTGAATATTGTATACTAAAATAAGAGTTTTCATCTATAAATTTTAATAGTACATAAATTAAGTTTTAAATGTATGCTGACATACTAGTGGAGTGGCTGGCCGATCTGGTCAGAACACAGGGCTCTAGTGCAGGAGACCCAGGGTCGATTCCTCAGTACGGTTGAGATTTTTTTTGTGTGTGTCTGAAAGAAACAATCATAACCTGCACTGTCCATGGTGACCGCAGTAGCCATGTGGCCCTAAATCGTCAGGCTCATTGACTGCCCAGCCTTCACCACAAAAATAATAAATACAGACAGTGATGGTAGTTTTAATAGCAGACCAACATACTTGTGGCTTAACTATTTTGGTGCCTGGCAAATAATAGTGAACTCAGAAAGTGTTTAACTAATAAATGCTTGGGCTAGAGAGAGAGTTAAAATAGTAAATGACAGCACTTGAGACATTCTCACTTGCAGCAGCGAGGGCAGAGTTCCAGTTGTGATGGTACCAGAGAAGTCTGATTGTATGTCCGTCTTGCCTTTCCATTGAACATTGGCCAGTTCCCATGGTCGCGCCCTACTGCATCTTTCTGTTCAGACGGTGATGATCTATTGGAGTTTCTGCCCTGTTGACTGACTCCTTAAGTGCCTTGACCACATCTTGCTTGTCTGTACATTTGTACTGGTATTTGATTAATGTGATATTTGGTCCAAGAATCTTATTTATTTTCAGTTAGTAAAGTAAAGATCCCTTTTCACGCCTTAGGCGCATCAGGTATATGGGAAGAGCATCCCGTATTTTTTCAGACCAATCGGCACTGGGTGGGTAATGTGGTCTGCATTATGCCGGCCTTCTTTATTTCCCCAGCACAGCCATGTACCTATTTCAGGCTGGGTCGAAAGGGGGGTCCTTCTGTGGTGCAATGATCAAGCCATTTGCCTATCCCTATGAATGTCATTAGTTCATTTCACGGAAGCGTCATTCATTTTCACAAATGCAATTTTTACCGAGATCCTTGAGGATTGTTACTGGAACTGTAGATTTTGAGCTTTATGCTATACTCTTGGCAGGTGGCTAGCCGTTCAGCTGAGAGAGACTTAGCCATGTAAGATAAAACCAGATGCGATGAAGTCTGAGCTTTTAGCTTTAACTGTGACAGTAATGACTGCGTGTACATCTTCTAATGTTTTGTATGATATCCTCCTGTAGGTTGTGCTGGAGACAGAGATAACCAACCAGAGTGCCCTCAGGTTGTATGAGAATCTGGGATTTGTTCGGGATAAAAGACTCTTCAGATATTACCTGAATGGTGTGGATGCCTTGAGACTGAAATTGTGGCTGCGGTAGTAGTCCGGTGGTCATTTACTTGGTACACTTGACATGAATAGAGAAGGGAACTAGAGAGTGGAGTTAAAAAGGTGTGGACAACACGGGGTGAGCTGCATGCAATAGCAAAGAGCAGAATGACTTTGCATGAGTTGGTTAGGGGCCTATGCCTCTTTGTAGAATGGAAGACAGAAGAAGAAGATGTGAATGTTTTGCTGTTCTTGTCCACGTTTATTAATAAGTTCAGATTAGCAGTGATAGTTTGTTTCTGTGAAAGGGGAATCTTTGCAGCATTTGTGATGTAGTGTCCTGTTATAAATGGCTGAGATGGTTTGTATGCCAAGATTGATTTGAATGTAATTTGTTTAGATTCATAAGGAATATGTGTATATTTATTTATGTGTTAAATATGCATTGATTTACAGATTGTGAAGACATTGTGGTTTATCATGTTGATCTCATTGTTGTGGAAGCTAAAATAAAATCTTGTGAATTAATTCCAGACTTTTCTAGGCAATAAACTAATTATGAATATGTTGCAGTTTGTTTATTTGGGTGATTGTTTGTTTTTGTAAATGGTTACTTTTGTCTAAAACATGCCTGCTTAATAGAGGATTTCATAGTGCTGTCTATAAGTTCTTCTCCCTGTTATTCTAAAAATTCTGCATATACTATAAATATTCTGTTGTGGGTGGTTTTCCAGTTTACATTTTATTGAGAAGGGCTTACATGCCTAGTCTTTGTGTGATTTCTAGCTGCTGAAGAATTTTTAATGTGTGGGGCAGGTACTTGAGACTTGCTTGGTTGTCCTCATCTGGGAAGGCTTGAAAATGCATCAGCTACTTTAGAAACAGTGTTTGTTTGAGTTATCCAATGTTTCATTTAGACCCAGCATCTTTTTGAGTTACAGTGGAACAGTAACATTTAACGGAGCAAACATAAGATGTGTGATGTGAAATGAATTCAGTATTATTTTATCTGTATTTAGCAATCAGTTAAATAGATAGAAAATTGTGTCAGAATGGCTGAGAGATTCAGCCATTAAAGCATACTTATGTGTCTGTGCAATCATCCGAGAAATTGATATGACAGTTGTTTTCTTGGAATATACTAATAATTCAGGGAAGCACTAAAGTAATTGATTTTGAACAGAATCACAAGAGGCTCCACATTATAACAGTGAGAGTGACAATAATGATTCAGTTAAATTTGCATTCAGTTGATTATATATATAGTAGACTCAAAATGATAACATAAGCCTAGCTTTTGTACTTTTGACGGGGAACTTTATGGGTTGTGCTTTTGACCGGGAACTATGAGTTGTGCTTTTGACGGGGAACTGTATTAGTTGTGCTTTTGACGGGGAACTGTATGAGTTATGCTTTTGCCTGGGAACTGTATGAGTTGTGCTTTTGACTGGAAACTGTATGAGTTGGGCTTTTGATGGGGAACTGTATGAGTTGGGCTTTTGACGGGGAACTGTATGAGTTGTGCTTTTGGCGGGAAACTGTATGAGTTGGGCTTTTGACGAGGAACTGTATGAATTCCATGGCTCCATTTTGTAGAACAAAGAGTAGACACACTGTTCCCCGAGCAAGCATGTAGTAAGAGACGACTAACTAGGGGTGTTTCCTCCAAAGTCAGAATGCATTAACCTGATCGGTAACAAACCAGTAGTCTGCATATATATATATATATATATATATATAATATATATATATAATATATATATATATATATATATATATATATATATATATATATATATATATATATATATATATATATATATATATATATATATATATATATATATATATATATATATATATATATATATATAATATATATATATGCCAGATCTGTGTAAAACAGATGTGCATGCAAAACTCAAGATCTGAATCATAGCCTGGTATCAGTGAGACGACAACAGCAACAAAAAGACTTTGAAAGATAGACGGAAATCAAATGTTATTTGTATTATTGCTAATTTACTTCTGACAGATAATGTTATTCTGCCTCATATAGGACTTAATGTATAAATAATGACTGTGAAAGCAAGAAGTCACCCAAGGAGAAGATGGATTGATGACATTAAAGAGCTTCAAGATCGACACAGAATGAAAGTAAGCATTGCTGCCCATCAGGCGTTGGATCACAAACTGCTTAGTGGTAGAAGGGGAAAATTATAATGATGACCTGACTGTTACTCTACACTGGACTTTATTCTTTGCATACTTTCTCTGCGGTTCATTGAGTAGGCTCAGGAAGATTTAGATAGACTAGGATTAACAATGGACACTAGACTGCTACAAAGAGCCACAGATGTGATGGCAGCATGGGCTGATAAATTATGTGTGAGCATCATCATAGGCCAATGTAGCACCGACCTCTCTCCAAAACAAAAATCAGGCGTAATCCACATAAATGGAGTACCTCAGAGAGAGGATAAGGAGCCCACATACCTTGGAGTCACTTTCGATAGGTTAACATGGAGAAAACACATCAACAAAAGCCAGGAGGAGGATAGCCATCCTGAGAAAACCAAGTGGAACCACATGGGGTGCTAGTGGAAAAATACTTAGGAAAGTTTACCAACAAAGTGTTCGACTACACCTTGAATATGGATCAACAGCGTGGAGTTCAGCGTCAAAAACCACACTAAAAGAGTTTGGCAAAGTGAAAAATCAAGCACTCAGAGTTACCACAGGCAGTATGAAATCAACACCTATAGCTGTGATGGAGAAAATGGGGATGACCCAAGCACTGAGTGAATGCAGAGACACCAAGATGTTAATACAAGCAGAAAAGTTTCTTAGCATGCCTAGTCACCCTGCTTCTGGAGTTTCTTCTCTTCTGGACTAGTAAATCTTTCTGCAAGGCTCTGTCACACACACATCCCCCCCCCCCCCCCCAGGTAGGTGGTTCAGTTATGTTTATTATACCTTCTGCTGTAGGAAATGCTTTTGTATGTCTGATGCTGTTATACTGTACTTGTAGAGAGTCAGCGTATGCTTCACATTTTGAATATGAGAATTAATTAAATGTAATGAGCAATGAAATCTTCTCATACCTGTATATGTTTTTGAGTGATTTATAAGTGTGAAATAAATGAGCTTTTAAAATGATCGGCTATCTGTTTGTTTGTACCAATATACATTGTCATCATTTTTTTTCTTTTGACTGTCGTGGCTTCTGCCAATTTTAGTAAATGCTTGTTTAGTGTGGTAAATACTGGAAGACACTCTTTCATCCCATCTATGAATTAGTTTCTTTCTTATTTGGTTGATCTTTACATACTTGAAGGATCGTCACTCAGTTGTGTTTGGAATCCTATTTAGGGATATGTTCAGTGCCAAGCAGTATCATGCATTTATTGGACACTCACTTCTCTTGAAACTCCTTTCTTCTAAGACCAGTGCTTATAAACAAGATTGAAGGGGAAAGAACTGGGACACCAAGCAAGAGAAGCCCACCACAGCAGACCCAACCCCACCCGTTCCAGGTCGCCCCAGGCGAAACTGACAGTCCTTTTTAGCGCTGTCTGTCCACACCCCAATGCAGCCAACCCTGGTATGATAGACAGCAAAGAAGCCAGTTCGCTACCCCGAGGAAACACGCAGAAAATGCCAGAACCAGACCCCAAGGAGTCCCACCCACCCGTTCCAGGCAAAATTGACAGTCCTTTTCAGAACTGTCTAATCCATTCCCATACTGCAGAAGACAGCCAAACAAAAAGTCGCCGATATCCACCCAGCCAGACCATGCTGACGTGGAGAAGCAAAGGAACAAAAACTCAGGCGAAATTCGTTTCGCCACCAAGAAACTGAATTCAAGCTAAGATAGCAAAGAAACAGTTCTCAATGTAGCAGGCTCAAAGAGGACTAAGATTGGAATTGTTTACTACAATTGGAATTGGAAAGTACTGGGTTCTCTTCTCAAAACAATCAAATGCCACCCCGTGTTTGTTTGTTTTGTTTTAGTATCCAGAAGCCATGAGTTGTTAACCCTTAGGCTCGGTATTATGGATATCGCAACCTTGATTCCATTGTAAATCTGGGAGAAATATGGCTTTTCTGTCTACCCCTGGGAGTGAACCCGGACCACAAGGAGTTCGTCACCCGGTCACAGCGCAATCCGGTTTAGCCAACTACGCTAGAGAACCGGGCGCCACCCCGTGTCAATTCGGGAACCCCATTGTGGTGAAAAGAATAGACCTATTGACTCCACAGTCTTACAGACATCCATCCTGATGTTGAATGGATATCAATACTTAAAGCGCCCAATCTCAACTTCTGTGTCGTCATGCTTAAATAGAGTTGTCGGGAGCAGAATCCCGTTGCTGCCAATCCCGAGGTATGCTCGATTATCAGTGACAAGACAGATGTGTTGACCTTCATAGACGGGTCCATTGTGCGAGGACAGTGCATGGGCATTTATAGCTCGCTCTTCAGGCATAACATTTCAAGAACTGACTATAAGCAACATGACGATGACACAAGCTTTCATGTGGCTAGAATCACAGGACTATTCTCGTGTGTGTTCTGCATGATCCAGCTGATCGAAGCCGGCTTTTTACGCAGACAGTGGACTGAGTCATTGTCACAGGACATGCGGTGTTGTTGGTAATAAAAAGATTAGCAGGTTCCGTATTAGTTGCAGATGACAGGCCCGTAGATCACGCAGACATTGTCAATGTACTTAAAGAGATAGGACGCTCCGAGGATTTTGGAAGTAACCTGTTCACATCACTGCTAAGAATACGAGAAATTGGGGTAAAGATCGCACAGCCAAGCATGAGAAGCACACCGGACGTACACGGTCTTGTCAACCAGCTTAAGACTGGCACTATTAACCGCGCGACGCTGATGATATATGCTAAAGGGGAATCTGTTCACCTATGGATGTGTCCGGAGTGCTGTAAAGACAATCCAGCTCATAACTTATAGTGGGACTTAAAAATGTGTAAATTGTTGTTAACTGTGTTGCGTGAAATAGGAAAATCATCAATGGCTGCTTTATAGTTGCATGCCTAAGACCTGCCCAGTCATAAGAGTTTTGTATCCAGTTTTTCTTGGTCTGCCTCTTCCCCTGTAGTGAGTCATGTGGTATTATTTTTAAAAGGGCATTAGATCTTAGTACGTGTCCTTATAACTGTAATTGAAAGAGGTTCATAGTTGCCAATGTGCTGGGTAATTATACGGCGAACCTCGTCATTTGTGATGCGGTCTCTGTGTGTATTTCCACAATCATTGCATGGGATTTTAGGGCCATAGTCGTTATCGCAGTTATTTGGTGTGCTTATTCTTAGACTCACAGCTCTCATCTATTATACGGTCTTTCCCCCTTTATTATCATTCTCTTATTCTCAGAACACCTTGGACAAAGAAGAGAAGAAACACTGACATTTAAAAACATTTCGTCTCAGAACCTGAAATATTGTGGTCACATCAAACGCGATGGCTGATTGGAAAAAAAAAAAAAATAATAACAGAAGCCATGGCCCCAGGAACTCTACCAACTTCCAACCTCCAAGTGTGTGACCTGGCCACCTAAGCCTCTGGAGACTGGGCATTTCGAAAGCTGTTGCGAGGCCTGCCCTTTCCAGTACCTCAGTGTTTGTGATCTAGTCTTGCCACTCAATGCCAATTATTTTTCTTAGTCATAGTAAGTGAAAGATAATTAACGTTTCTCCTGATGCGAATAAGTCGACCGAAATTTCAGTGCCAGCTTCGTAGACTGCCAGAGTAGGTAGGTAGGCAAGTTTTATCCCACCAGGACATCACACAAGCGATAAACACCTGGTGACACAAGATGCCACCATGCGGATGAGGATCACCCGTGGAGAGGTCCCGGAAACCCCGTTAAACCGTTAGGCCATACTTAGGGCCCGGCTATATTTAGGGCTTCAAAATAGCGAAAAATTGAGTCCCATAAGGGGACGACCTTAAATTGCATTGAATAAGTAAGTAACTTTTACCCCACCAAGACATCACACAAGCGATAAACACCCGATGACACAAAGTGCTACCATGCGGATGAGGATCACCCGTGGGGAGGTCCCGGAAACCGCGTTCAGCCATTGGACCATATTTATGGCCGGGCTGTATTGCAGCCCCTGGTAAGAGCCAGAGCAGGGCTTCAAAATAACGAAAAATTTCAACCCTTAAGGAGATAATTAATAGGGTAATATTTTTGACAAGAGTTTTTATTTTTTGAGTTAAATATTTGCCATTAAACAAAACTTTCAGATCATGTTGCTAAATATTCGAATCTTGGTCTGCCGAATTATATTTTTAACTGCTCGGCTAGCCGCTTGCTAGAGGATTAACTAAACTAGACACCCCTAAAGTAAAACAAGAGATTAACAAGCCTGGACAAGATCTGGGAACAAGGGGTAGATACCGCGAGGAATCTACTGCAATAAGTGCGACGGTGTGGCTGCCAAGTTATCGTTCTTGGTATGTAAACGAGTGCGTCAGTCAGCGCTGTCGAAGTTGGTATTTTCATACCAATTCGGTACTATTTTATGATTAACGCAATGTTTCCCCGATGTGAATTTGAACAAAGAAGGCACACACAATAGACTGCACAATTTATTGCCTGGCATATTTCACTGTATCTCGTCAGGTGCATACTACAGTAACAATTAATTAAAATGAAGCAAATAGCTGAATCCTGACGAGATACAGCGAAATATGCAAGGCAATAAATTGTGCAGTCTATTGTTTGTGTCTTCTTTGTTCATATTTTATAATTGCTGAAAAAACGGTACTTTTGGTAACAGCCGATATTTTTGTACGTTTTAGAAATTTTGCAACCGTATTTTAAATGTTGGCATTGTACGCTGGACACAGTAAGTGTTACTGAAGTCAGACTGACGTCAGTTATGCGATTGTTCACGAAATTTTCCAGACTTAATAAGAAAATTATGAACAAATAAATAAAGAAAGGATGGAACTAATGGAGTAAGATCAACAATCTAATGCTAAAAAAACGTTCATGCATCTACATAGATCTCTGTCCCTTGTTTCCTGGATCAGTTCCATCGATGATGTCCCTCTATGCCACCGTCGCAGTCCATCTGTCATCTTCTTTCTTGGTCTGCCTCTTCCTCTTCTACCGTTGATCTTCCTGGTTGTTACAACATTCTCCATCCCCCCCCCCCCGGTCAATCTCATGACCAAAGAACAGTGCCTGTCTTTTCCTTATAGCTGTATATATTGTTCTGCTTTCATTTGATTCCTTCAAGCAATCCTCGTTATTACTCTGGCAGTAAAAGGATTTCTTAATATACATTTGAAAAACCACAACTCCGTCGCCTCCAAGGTCTTTCAAATTTGTGCATTCACATTCCATGATTCGCTACCACACAGCTATATAGGTTCTACATAAAATTTTAGTGCTCTCTTTCGGACATCCAAAGAGAAAGACCTGTTGCACAAGATGTTCTTAATTCTGTGAAATGCCGCATTAGCCTGACCTATTCTGCTCTTAATTTCTGACACATTTTTTCCGTCTGATGTTATTATTGTACCCAGATATTTTAATATATGGACTTGGATTACCCTTATACCGTATATTCTAATATCACAATGTAGTGGTATTCTTTTCTTTGATAAAACCATTATCTCCGTTTTCTTTATATTCAAGGACAGACCCTTTTTTGCACTCTCCCCCACTACAATGTCCAATAATTGTTTGTAAATCATTTGCATTTTCAGCTATCAGTACTGTGTGATCTGCACTAATAGCAAACAGGATGCTGAGTCCTTTAGCGTTACCTCATGCCTTTGCAGCTGCAGAAACAGTTTTATCTCTGCCTAACAATATTAGGATTAAAACAAAATCGCTTTTCTGTGAAGACTTCAACAATAAATGCATTGATGAGGTCAAAGATATTGCTTCAGGTCATTAACTGCTCCTACAACAGCTTTATAACGAAGTGAGCGAAATGAAAGGTTCAACAACGATGGAATGTATAAAAATGTCAATTCTGGTCAAATATAAGGTTATACATATATACAGACACACAGAGACAAACACAGACACACACAGACACGCACACACGCTCACACACACAGACAATATATATATTATATATGTGTATATATATATATATATATATATATATATATATATATATATATATATATATATATATACTATAAATCACAAAACCTTTTTGTATTTTGCGTGCTCATTATCCATGATGCGTTAACTCCCACAAAACCGTGACCAATACGCAGGTAACATTTTTACTTGCCATTATGATTACAATGTTTAATCAGAACAGTCACACTGACGGCCCAGATTATTGTGCATTTCTTTATTTATTACGACAAATAATAAAAGTAAACTTTTTCTCGAATTATATTTTTTAAATATTTTTCTTATTACTTCCCTTGAAAATGTAATTAGAAGAATTATCTTTCTCTATTATCTTTCTGGAAACCACATATCTATTATGTGTCTGAGACAATACATTTGCCTGTCTCCCAAACTGTTTAACACTAATGTTAGTATTACAGGGGATGCCTAGGGTACACTTAGGTTCAGTGACTAAATATACGACAGAGATGGAGACAAAGATGAAGTAGAAGACAGGATTTTAAATACAGGGTTTTAGTTAGATCCCTATGACTGACTGACTTTCTACCCCACCAGGACATCACACAAGCGATAAACACCCGATGATACAAAGTGCCACCATGCGGATGAGGATCGCCGTGGAGAGGTCCCAGAAACCGCGTTCAGACATCTGGCCATATGTATGGCCTATCTATATTGCGGCCCCTGGCAAAAGCCAGAGTAGGGCTTCAAATGACAAAAAATGTCGTCCTAAAAAGGACGAAATTGGATAGCATTGCTTTAGATCCCTATTTCTACCTGGTCTACATTTAGGGCAGCAGCGGAGACCAAGATGAGGTAGAGGATGGGAGAATAAGACTTTCTTTCGCTATCCCGGCTGAAGCCGGACAATTAAATATAGTGTGTGTGTGTGTGTGTGTGTGTGTGTGTGTGTGTGTCTTAAACACGTTTTAACTTTTTTTTAGATTAAAAATTAAAAGCTTGGCAGCTTTTGGTATTTTTTTGGCCATCATCAGTTTCCACTTCTGTCGTTAAAGCACTGTGGGGAGAAACAGTTTGCTGTCCATTGCGTGATAGACAGCAATGGCTTTTGTCATTCCGTGTCGATGTAGAAACTCCGTGTCATCAATTCCTCTTCTCTTAGAGCGGTATCGTGCTTTGACTTAGATCTTTTCATGTGTCACGCTTGCGTTGGCAATGGCTGTATTCTTACCAGATGACCAAATTATTGTATCTTCTATTTCTGAATGAATTTGCTGCATGGGTTGTTCCTACATTCTGTCTGATAATATCATTTCTAACTTTGTATCGGATGGTTAAGTTGGCGGCTTTACCTAGGCATCTCGTTTCTCTTCATTTCATTTGTTTTGTTGTCTATTTCCAAAACATTTCGGCAGCCCTGGGCTCAGCCAATGAAATCAAAGCCGGGAAGTCAATTTTAAAGATGGCTGTGTAAACAGGGAAACAGTCCTTTGTGGTTACCAGTGAAACAGTATTAATCTTGGCGGATAAGGATAGCAAAGTGTTCTTGGTCTTGGTAAACAAACGTAGCAGTTTAACATGCATAATACGTCATGGTCTAAAACGTTGAGAGCTTACGTTAAAAAGAAACATGTGCTGCAGGATCACGAAAAAAGTATGTAAATGATGTAGCTTATGTAGCGGTAGCTAATTATACTGTAATTAATTACTAATTAAATTAACTATGTACGTCGTATTGTAGGTACATTGGTAAAATTTTTAAAATGCTCCCCTATACCAATAAAACCAGCACAGTTAGATAGCTGTAAACAATCTCTTTCCAATAGTACCTAATTTATGCTTGTATGTCAATTCTAAGCCGAGATATCTGTTTTTGTGGAAATGAGATAATGATGTAAACAAGCAAAGCAGCTGTTAAAACTCGCGTCCCAGAAACAGGAATTATTAAAGAACTGTTATGGTTTAAAGGTCAATGAGTCACAAGACAAGATGGCAGACATTTTTTTAGACACAGCCGTAATAGCGATTGCCTGAAAAAATGTCTACTGTAAATCGACTACTAAGCCATACATAGGAAAGAAATTTTATATACAAATGTAAAATTAGACAGAGAATTCAATTATAACTAGCATTACCATGTCAAGTAATGTTAAAGCCTAAAGCCAACCTTGAATACTTACCGCTATTTTCAATCAAACTGATGTAACAGAAAAACAGAGCACGTCAGGCTGTCGTAGACATGTGCTGTTAATCGGGTTCATTCCCGCCGTTTTCAGCTATTTATAGCTGGTCAAAATCACACCAGTCGCAAAATTTCATAAGAGATTAGGACCCATCCCGAAAACAGCCGACATTTCCCAAACAAGTTTTGAACGGTTACCTGGTAACAGAAATTCCCGAAAAGACCGCAAATTGCCGAACACCGTAGTCTCTGTGTATAGTGTAAGAATTTATCTGCTTCTGAATAAAGTCTTAACTTAAGTAATTTACTAGTGTTAATATGTTACGTTTTCATAAAAGTCGGAGTACACGTGCCTGCGAAGAAAGTAACCAGTGCACAGAAGTCAGCCAGATGTGTAAAACGGATCTGTACGCAAAACTAAATTAAGTTCGGGAACTAAGTCAAAAGTGAACAACCAAAACCTTCCTAACAATTGAGAAGACTAATTACTAATCCAGTCAACTAATCTAATCGGCTCTCCTTCGAACTTCTACCCGATATTATGGCGGCCAAACAAATACCCTATCAGGGCCTCAGTCCTATGCAAAATGCGGAGTTCCTACTAAGGAACAAATCGCTGCAAAACTAGGATCGGCTCCGAATAACGAAACAAGTGCTCTAACAGGGTCTCAGCGATATGTTAATTGCGGACCTGTTTCTGTGACTATGCCGCACTGCTGACATTACCCCCCCCCCCCTCGCCGCTACGCAAAGCGCGTATGGGGGGTTAAACTAGATGGCTATGACTCACGATACGCTCAGCGGTGAGTTTAATCGGAAGTACACTATCGCTAATCTGCGTCGGAGCTCGCGGTCTTTCCACCATCTCTCCACCATCTCCATATTATCGTTTGTAATGTTGCGTGTCTCATAATTGTCAATGGTCGCTAGTATCATCTGCAGAAACGCTCGAAATTGTCAACAGTTGCTATTATCGTCTGCTACTATCGTCTGCAGTGTTACGTGTCATGACATTGTTAAGTAATCCTAGTTTTGCCGCGATGTGGTCGTCGGAAGAAGTCCACATTTTACGACTGAGGCCCTGTTAGGGTATTGTTTGGCTGCCATAATATCGGGTAGAAGTTTGAAGGAGAGTCAACTAATCTAATCACAGTCATTAATCTAGTCCACATGCTGAAAGTTTCATTATACAAAACACTTATTGTGCCTTATTACTTTCAGCTTATTACTTTGCCTTATCATGCACTATTTTTATTCTTTACCGTGTTTTATTGGTTAAAGGTTATTGATATATCACAAGTACTGATGAGATTAACGTCTCCTTAATAATAATAATAGTAGTAGAAGACTTAGTGATAGTCAGCCCATCAGCAGAGCTATACATGTATGAAGTACTGATCTAATTTAAATGGAAATAGAGAGACTTTCTTACCCCTTTTGGTGTTGTTTTTAAATGTTATTGTTTTATTTATTGTTATTCATTCACTTTTGCTATTTTGTTGCAGGTGTGAACCATTTACAATCTGCAGATGAAGAGTTAGAAATCTTTACCAAACTGTACAAGGATTGGAAGGGCCTAGACGATTATCATAAAAATGAGCCAACTTTGTATGCAAAGGTGACCTTTCTGTTGTTTAGACAGATATTGTTATAGAACTCCCTGTGTTGAGTTCCAGGGCCCAATTGTAGGGAAAACAAGAATAGACCCGCTGCCTCCCCAACAAGCATGTCATAGGAGTCGACTAATTGGGGGCTTCCTTCAAAGTCAGTGTATCTGTCAGAGCGACAAGGAACAAACAGATGTACATGCAAAACTCAGGCTCTGGTACAAAGCCAAATTTAAGATGGATGAGCCACCAGGACTTTGTGCCATAGCTTACAGCCAGTGAACAAAGAAGAAGAAGAAGTTATAGAAATATCTGGGTATAATTACATCTTTTCATGTTTTTTGTGGATCCCAATACTGCTGATTTGTCTTGGCAGTCCACTCCAGTATCTTTGCTAACCCAAATGTCTGTTGTAGACTAACTACCTTTGACTTTAAAATGTTTCTCCTTTCGTTGTATCCCTGTCCTGAAGCAGTAGATGACCTTGTATGTTATAATGTCCTCAAGAGCTTTGCTAAGGTTAGCATAGTTTCTAGTAGGGTCTCCCATGTCAGACGGTTGAGGAATAGAAACCAGATAAAGTAAAACACCTTCCTTTTTACCTTGTTGATAGACACAGAATAAAGCTAAGGGAAACTCCTGAAAACATGTCTGAAATGTATGACTGAGTCACAGCTTCAGAACAGTGCTATTTTATTTGCTTTATGATGTCAGAAATTAAAAGAAAGCAGAACAGTGCTGATTCTGTGGAATAATGACTGGTGGTTATGATGTTTGTGCTTAGTTTTAAGTAAGTAAATCACAGAAGAAAAGACTCTTTTCATGCCATTGATACATCAGGTATATGGTGCTACGCTCACATACACACTTACATTTTTATAGGTAGTTTGTCAGTCACTGGTTAATGTGATTAATGGTGACTGCCTTCCATTCATAAAAAATTTCCTGGTACCCACATTAGGCCAAGCCATCCTGGATGTCAGGTCGCTTATAAAATTCACCTTGATATTGATTCCTCAACATGTACACCTTCAGGCAAGTGCTCAGCCATCTCACAGCTGTGGCACCTTTATAATAAGTACATTGTACAAGGACAGTTTATAAACAAACTGAACCTGAAAAAATCTTTGGAACATGAAAAATCTCTGCTGTTGTTTTTGTTGCTATACTTACAATCTAGTTAAATTCATCCCTTTTGAAATAGTTCCCTTTACTATTGATACTCCATCCCCATTGTTTTATACTTCCCCTGCACCTTGAAAGCTTTCTGGGATAGACTGGGTCATAGTGTCCGAGCAAGTTTAAGACTTGTGTAGGGTTCTTGTCACTTGAGGTCATGAGTGCATGAACTGGTCACCTAGTGCTGCAGAATTAGTTCAACAAATGATTGCTGACAATCCCTGCCTAGGTGAAGTGATTATCTATACTGATGGCTCTGTGATGAGGAAAAGGCGAAGTGCAAGGGGGTTCATAGCAAAATCGAATGGACATCGCTTTGTGCAGCAAAACCTGACACACGATATCACAACATCTGGTTTGAGAGTGGAGGTGGAGGCAGTCACTGCTGCCTTCCGCTGGCTTGAGAATCAGCTGTACACACTTGCCTTGATTGTAACTTCCGTGCAGAGTGGCAAGCATCACTTCAGAATTTCCGGGTAGTTAGCATCCTTTGGATATTTTCTCCAGATTATGCTCGTGTGTTGGGAAAGGAGCAGGCAGACTAGCCAATTCTGCACCACTTGGTGGTGAATCGATGTATGACAAGCTATATGTTGTGAGTCCACTTTGGCAGCAAGTGAACAATGCAGAGGCAGAGATAGATCATTACGATCTGAGGAGAATGGTGCTGAGAGGAGTTACCAGGATATAGACACTCAAGGTAAAGGCGAGATGGATAAACAATCAGACACTTACTGGTGCAATCGGAATTGGAACTCTTCGCTTGCTGCTGAATTTCGTTCGTTCGTTAGAAGAAAAACAAAAATTTCAAACTTTGTCCTTTTTTAACCGCCTGATGGCCTGTTTTCTCAAGGACGGGTTATTTGCTATCTGAGCTTGAATTTCTTACTTTTGTGGCGATGATTTTCGCCTGAGTTTCTTTTTAGTTGTTGCATCATGTCAGCAGCGTGGGCTTGGCGGGCGGCTTGCAGTTTTGGGATTTTGGAAATGGCAGTCCTGAAAAGGACAGCCATATGGGCCTGGGTGGCCTGGAACGGGTTGGGTGGGAGTGGTCAATGTGGTTGGCAGTGCTTCCTCGCGTCGGTGAGCCCGCTTGTTTCATGGGAGCTGGGTGTCATGGCGGCTTGGAAGTTTTTTGATTGGCTGCTGGCTTTGTCATGTTACGGGTTGTCTGGTTGATCAGTACTTGCGGTGACGTCGGTTTGGCGTAGTCTGACTCCTTTGTTTCCATTTTGACTGGGCCAGCTGTTTTTGGGCTGCTTCTATCTCGTCATGGAGTCCGTTAATTTTTGTGTAGAAGGCTTTCTTTACCTCGGCGGGCAGAGAATCGTATTTCACCCGCTCCTCTTCATCAAAAATTATAACGTAGCGGTGCCTCTCGAGTTCAATTCTGTGCGGGTGTATCTGGTCGTTGATACCTTGCACCATCTTTAGGAGGTCTTCCTCGCTTCTCACTTCACCGGTTGCCTCTTCTTTGCCTTCTTCGAGGGTTGTGGCCACAGCTGGGGTCGCCTCTGTGACTTCGGGTATGGTCCCTCCATTTGACTGGATTGTGTTTTCCTCGATATTTGTCTCTGTATATTTGTCGACCCTGCTGATGTTTGGTTTTGCGGCTGGTGCCTTGCTTCTCTCTGCGAGCAGGAGTTCTCGTGTAGTGGCTTCTGCTTCTGCTGTTGTTTTGACTAGCAGGGCGACTTCTCTTTATGTCAATTCTCTGTCTTCGTTTAGTAAGGCCGTCTCTGCCTTTCTTTCTTCTCGTTCGGCTTGTCGGTAGGCTGCTGCCTGGTCCTGATCTGTCTTCAGCTGTGTCAGAAGGCCTTGGAGTTTTTGGTTTGTTTCATTGACTTCTGCTAGCAGCTTGGTGTGTTGCGCAGCTTCTGCTATTCTGTCTCGCTTCTGGGCTTTGATTTCGTCGAGTGTTTGGGAGATTAGTCCCAGCATCGCGAGTCTTTCAGCGGTGGCCTTCTCTCTGTCTGCTGTCAGCTTGTGGACTGCAATTTTGAGTTCTGACACTTCCTGGTTTGTCACGGTGTTGTTTGCGACTGGGATCACCTTCTCTGATCTTCTCTCACTTCTTGGTATTGCTGCTTGCACTTTTTAAGGTAGGTGCAGCCCAGGTATCTGGCGCTATGGGGCCCTCCACAGTTTGAGCATCGTCTGCTACTGTTAGGCTTTTTAAAATCAGGGTCCTTCTTGGCAAGTGGGCACTCCTTAAAATCGTGCGGCTTGGAGCAGTACCAACAAATAGGGCCACTGCGACAGGTCGCTGCGGTGTGCCACGCCTTGTTACAACGTGAGCACTGGATGATACTCTCACTGCTGTGGGCTCCAGGCTGCTGCTTGCTGCTGAAGATGGGGACGGGGCACTTATAGGAGTGTCCCGAGTGCCATGACGTCAATTCCTAATTCAACATTGGGATAGACTATGTCTCCTACCAGATTTATTTTGTCATGATCTCATTTGTAGCCTGACACTGGCGATCTTTAAGGGTGGATTTTAATTTTGAGAAGAAGAAACATCCAGTGTCCAAATGCTTGCTAATAAACTAGCTTTGTCATGAATGAAGTGGGTAAGTGAGGCCAGGAGACAAAACAGTAATTGCTTGCAATGGCTTACGTAAAAATTTTGAATGGTTTCCTTTCACAGCTTCCATCGGAGGAAGAACCTTTGCTGCTCAAATTACGAGAGGAGTCAAGGTAAAGAAGATTAATTGAGTCATTTACTTTTAGTTGAATCGGTGTACTCAGAATGTTATATTTACTGTATAGAATATTATTACTGTATAGATAGGGAGTCAGCGTCTGTTGCTTAGGCGTTGCGCATGTGCTTTGTGATGCAGGGGTGCTTGGTTCGATTACAGCTGGGCGCCTTGCGTTGGTTTCAACAGTGGTATCGAGAAGCTGACCGTCCAGAAAGCAATGGCAAACTATTGGACGTAAATTTTGCCTGGAAAAACCACAACAGCCAATGCTGAGGTTAGTTCTGCAACATCCTGTAAAGGATGGCAACTAAATTAGAGAACTTATAGATAGGAAACCCATACAATGACAAATTCAGTGGGGGTGAATTAAGGTTTTAGAAGATATTCAGCATTGAAGGGGAAACAGATGGACTTTTAATCAGGTTGCAGCTGGTAATATTAACATGTCAGCTATTCATTGACTACTGAAGAAGGGGACAGAGCACATGTGGGAATGTGCCGAGTGCAGTGATGTCAGTTCTTGATAAATTCATTCATTGAATTGTATTTTGAAAACTTCATATTTAATATTTCAGTTAGACAAATATATTACCATAAATACAAAGTTTACACACTGTTCATTTCACATTCTAGTATTTTCTACATAAGTTTATATTTGTCTGTTATCAATTTATATATCTGACTTAAAATCTAGGTTTAAAGAAATGTTACAGCATTAATTTTCCACATTGACTAAATGAGTTTTAAAATACTTCTTTTGTCTAGGTGTTGGAATACTCAGTATTAGGCTTAGAAGTATGCAGGTTAAGCTTATTATTCCCCCCCCCCCCCCCCTCAAAAAAAAAAAAAAAATAATCTATGACCTTGACAGTATTGCATTCATGTGTAATTATGTTTTAGTTCTTTACCAAAACTCACTTTAATAGTCTTAATCTATTTGTTTACATTGTAATTTGTGTGTGTGTAAAAAAATAATTCAGTCTTTAACTATGCAGACACTTTGTAGTTTCAAGTTAGTTCTCTGCAATATTTTGTTGTTGTTGTTTTGTATGTTATCGGTGGATGTGACATTCTTAGTAAATTTTTGAAATGTTTATTTTATTTGACTAACCATTATGTGTTTAATAATCAGTAGTAAAGTAAGAAAGTAAAGATCCCTTTTCGTGCATCAGGCATATGGGAAGAGCATCCCATATTTTTACAGACCAGTCGGCACGTTGGGTAATGTGGTAAGCATTAAGCCCGATTAATCAATAGTAGCCCTTAATATTAGGAATAATCTTGAGATCGTATGGAATAGATATTGTGGAAGTTGGAGAAAATCCTTACTGACAAAATTGAAAAGTTGGCAGGTTATAGTTCTTACATATTTGTGTGTGTTCATGAGGATAGAGAGAAGCAGAGGGTTGTGATCAGTGGTGCTTTCGTCACACACTCTCCCCCCCCACCCTGCCACTCCTGGGTTGAGATAATAAATATGCTCATTTTGAAAATAGATTTATTAGCAATGAATAAATGCATACCTATTGATATTCTGTTTAAAACATTGGATTATTAATTGTGATTACAGTATTATAATTTCTGTGCACTTTCACTTCTCAACTTTTTGGGATGTCCTTTGAATTTATGTTTTCTATTTTGAGGTGATTACATAAAATTTGGGCATAAACTAAAAATAACTGAAATGAGTATGCATTAATTAAACGTGCTTATTCAACAAAACTTAAAAGACTGAAAACATCTTGTCCAAATAACAATTTTTATCTTTTCTTTCATTTTCAGAGCTTTATTTCTTCAAAGAAGAAGCAGAGAACTTCTGGACAATGATGAACTACAGGTTACAAACAAATGCTTTGTTCTGTTTTTTTTAAAATAAAAATTATGTCATGTCTTATATAAACATCACCCGCATCACCTGTTCGTGTTCATAAGTGATGGTTTTACTTGTGCCCAATATAAACACATTATAAATGTAAGATGTTTTGAAAGAAACTGGCTCACGAAGAGAACTGATTGCACACATCAGCAAGAGACAATCCACATTCTTTGGTCATGTCTGTGAAGGAGAAAACTTGAGTGACTGTAGGAAAGTTGGAGGGGAGCAGCGGCGGAGGGAGCCAAGAGAACAGATGCTGGACAGTTTGACCTCATGGCATGGAAGATCATCTGTGTCAGAGTTGATTGAAAGTACACCAGACAGAAGGTTGTGGATAGACATGACTACCAACACCACACGGCATGGACTCCAAGATGAATATAAACACATTCTTTTAATCACTAAGATAGTGGTTATTTGATATGGTTGATTCAAAATGAAGTTCATTATTAAAGTGGAAGAAAAGATCCTATCATTGCAGATTTGCTATTGGAGCATTTCACTGAAATTGATTATTATTTTAAAGTACTATTGCAGTTAAAATAGTTTTGACATAACATGAAACCAGAACTATATAAAATTTCAATATTTACTCTAGGGAAAACTGATGCTTTTGAAATAACAGAAGTGTGACAGAGATGTCGTTTGCTACATTAGTAGTCTTACTATTGACTGTAGACTAAATCAGAATTAAAACTGGCACTTAAAAAAAAATTATTTTTTTTTTATTGACCCTGCCCTAGCAATTGATGATCTGGAATTCACTGACATAATTACTCTGCTGTTCATATAAAATCCTTTGTGGTGAATTACAGATGAGGAGAAGATGTTGAGGTCTGCCTCTACTACCATAGAGGCAAGACATAATGAAGCAGCTATTGAGGTGGAATTGTGAGAACAAGATGATATGGATCACATTGCACGGAAAAGGGGGGGGAGGGGTGGGGGTTGGGAAGGGAGACATAAAGGAGAAAATGATTGCGAAGGGAGACAGATAAAGGAGAAAAGGATTGCGAAGGGAGTCAGATAAAGGAGAAAATGATTGCGAAGGGAAACAGATAAAGGAGAAAATGATTGCGAAGGGATACAGGTAAAAGAGAAAATGATTGCGAAGGGATACAGGTAAAGAAGAAAATGATTGCGAAGGGATACAGGTAAAGAAGAAAATGATTGCGAAGGGATACAGGTAAAGGAGAAAATGATTGCGAAGGGATACAGATAAAGGTGAAAATGATTGCATATAAGTTCAGAGCTAAGTGAGAAACAAAGCATGTTAATTACATGCGATATCAGTGATTGTCCTGAAAATCCTACCTATAATTGTGGTTTCTTAGTGCAAGTGTCTTGCTAGTCACACTCACCATCACCATGGGCTGTGATTTCCCTATATCACAGTTTAACATTATCGTCTGGAATGATGGAAAGTTGCCAACAACATCCACTCAAAATTATTTGTAAGATAAACACAGGTAGGCCAGTATCCACATTCTGTATCGTTTCACTAGTGGCTCCTAACCTCAGTCTGTTAATAAGATGAAACTCATAAATCCCTAAGGTCATTTCAAGCGACTAGTGCATGTCACACAATTTCTAAACATACATCGTTAATATTTTGTGTTATTCATATCACTGTTGAGTTAAGTTGATTCAAGAACCAAGATCACAGCACTCAGGGCAGTCACATAAGCGCTCCATCCCCAAGCTCAACAGCCAGTGAAGAGTTCCGATACTGATAGTGCCAGTCTGCCAGAACCTCTCGTCGCTCCCTGCTACATCAGTATCACTATAGAGGCAAATACCATGAGCATGAAATTTATTCTGAGTATCCTAAAAGACATGCAGTTATCTTTCTTTGCTGCTGCTTCTATATTTCAGTAGTTAAGAAATTGAAGAGACTGGCAGACTTGGGCTGTCAGTGATTAAGCAGTACTTTAAAATTATTTGCGTAACAATTTAAACTGGCAGACTTGGGCTGTCAGTGATTAAGCAGTACTTTAAAATTATTTGCGTAACAATTTAAATATATCTTATTTCATATTTGATTGTTTTAACATCATCATTATAAACCACGTCTGCCATTAAGCGTCGTGGTGAGGAATAAATTGCGATCCAGTGTATGCTAGCTGCCACTCGCTGTTGTCATGCCGAGAAGACATAGAATGTATTTAATGATGTTGATCCATATTTTCGAGGCTCTCCTGTTGCTCCGCCATGTCTTAATGTATACACATTATACTTCTCCCTCTAGAAACTGTGGTTTCTTTTGGACACACATCACACACCTCCACTTCATGGAGACGAACAGATGATAAATTACGAAGATTTTCTGAAAGTTCAAAAAGAGGCAGGGTACAAGTGCAAGTAAGTCACAGTATTGTTATCATAATCCTGTTGTGCATTTATATGTCATCTAGGGCTAAAAGTTTAATTCCTCCATTTGTTCTATCACGGTATAGAACTGTTAAATTTGTGTGTGAACATGTTATCCTCATGTTAAAACTGTATATTGCCTGTCTTCATCTGCCTGAGTGTAATAGTGCTAACACTGATTTATCACATTTTACAGGTTGTTTTTCTTCACTGTCTATTTTAATTCTTGATCTGTCAATTCTCGTGCCGCACCCCAATGCATAGGATAGGTTAAGAGTGAAACAGTTTGAGCTTTGTGATCAGTTTGAGCATTGTGATATGTTTGGAATTCTTTTGAAGTCGGAGTGCATCTGCCTGAGAGGCAAGGAACTAAAAATCTGCATACGATTAATTCAGATATGTTAAATGGATGTATGGACAAACAATCAGAACTTTCCACCGGAGTTTACAGCCAGTGAGCACGGAGAAGAAAAAAAAAGAAATTTAGCTGGTTATGCACCACATGGTGGTAAATTAACGCTTGACAAGCTAGAATTGATCAAAGCCCTTTATGAGAAAGCAAATAATGCAGAAGCACAAATGGATGCTCATTGCTGCCTGGAGAGAATAAAATGAGGAGTGACCAGGGGAATCACAATCGATAATTGCAACTGAGAGAAAAGGCAAGACAAACATATAATCAAACTGCTACTGGAATTTAGTGCCGGTTGCTGAAGATGGGAGGAGGCGATTGTGGGAATTCCCCAAGTGTTTGTATGCTGGTTCTTAACTTAACTAAACATTTCATTGCTAAGTTGTAATTAACATATCACAGCTTACAATCTTTGGTTAAAATTAATATATTTCACTCCATCATTTGTGTGAAAATTTCTTGCTGTTAATTTTTTTCCTGCATGTCTGTTAAATTCACTAAATAAGTAAGTTGCTTCAAAAATTTACACAATTTGTGAACTTATATTTGAAAAGTAAGAGACACTATCAGCAAATGATTGTTTGTTTTCAGACCATTTTTCCAAGCATCAGTTTTCTGTAAGCTACTTCAGAATGATCCATTTGGGCGTATATCCATCATGCAGTTCTTCAATTATGTCATGCGGAAAGTGTGGTTGCATCAAACACGCATCGGTTTATCTCTCTATGATGTAGCTGGACAAGGATATTTGAAAGAATCAGTGAGTTTTCCTGTCATTTGTATCAGCATAATAAATGTACACACTTCACACATTGACTAACTGATCCACTCCATTCTCGTAACTCCATCAATGGGCGGTAGGTTAAAAAAAATATGTAAAGGACCCTTTTCCACACTTTTAGGCGTATAGGGCATATAGAACTAGACCTATATTTTTATAGACCAATCGGCACAAGATGGGTGATGTGGTCAGCATCACGCTGGCCACCTTTACTTCACAGGACTGCACCTGGTACCCACTCAAGGCTGGGTCAACCTGGGAGCCAAGGTAAAAAAGTAAAGGACCCTTTTCCACGCCTTGAGGCGTATATAGCATATAGGGCTAGACCTATATTTTTATAGACCAATCGGCACAAAATGAGTGATGCGGTCAGCATCACGCAGGCCGCCGGGACTGCACCCGGTACCCACTCAAGGCTGGGTCGACCTGGGAGCCAAGGTCATTTTTTTTTAAAATTCCGGCTCCGCAAGGGAGCGAACCCACGACCTTCCGATCCGTGGTGAGCATCTAGCTGCTCGGCCACATCGACTCCCTCTCGGCGGTAGGAGTGTCATGGTTTCTTTTCTTTTTTTTTTAAAATTCAAGGTCTGCCACTGCTATTTGTCTCAAACAAGATAATACTGTAGTCTGTCTATTTTTTACCGTTACCAGTTGTGTCTGGTCTGGAGCAGACTTTGGAAATTGTGACTATTCAGTCTTTTCTGCTGTCTGGTATTTTGATGAAGTTGGTTTCTATATTATTATTTGCTGCATAGCAGGTTAAGCTTTCTTCATACTGCTCTATCTCTCTTTCCGACCTACCTGCCAAGTATTTTATCACATAAGACTAATTTCTATAATCCTACTCTTCTGTTTATTTATCATACACATTGTGTTTGTCTTTGTATCTTTTATGAGCGATTGTGTAACATTTGCAGCTCACAGTACCGTAATGTACTGGTATTTTATTTTTTCCTCTGTTCATGCTATTATTATCATTTTTCTGAAAAACCATTTTCTTCATATTTAAATTACTCAGTGTCCAGCTTTCACATTCATACAGAATGTGTGATACTGGAACCCATAAGAGGAACAAAGATAGTAACACTAGTCAACCAAACCTGTCGTTAAATTTGACTAAACAGGCTTGTCATGAGGCTGGTTGCATCATTCATTAGAAAGATTTGGCTATGAAATCCAAATAAATCCATAGATAAGAGGGCTTATGTTCTGTTAAAAGAAGAAAGGCATAAGGAAAAACTTTTTGCATAAAAAAATAATCAGTCAGTTGGGGATTGAGTCTGCACCTCCTTGTTGATAAACCAGTGCACATACTAGCCACTGTGTTAGAAAATTTAAAAGATAAAACTGCTTTAAACATAGCATATAATTCCCTTAGATTTATTACATTCTATATGATTTACCGTGGTTAGAAATCTAGTCGTAATTTGAGCGAATTCCAATGCTTGTGATCAAATATTTAATCGCTGTTGACCATGTTTATTATTATTTGTTAACAGATGAGTGATTTAATGATAAATGAAATGAGGCAGATGAGCCTGCACGCCCAATTCTGAATTCTTTGAAAATAAAGTTTGTTTGTTTGTATGTTCGCTCTCTGCAGGAATTTATATTTATGATTATTTTGCAGGATCTTGAGAATTATATCTTGGAATTGATACCCACATTGCCACAGGTATGCATTTTTTTCATTTACTTATTTATCCTTTATGTTGCCCTGTTCATCGAAATAATCAGAAATAATGGACAAACTATTTAATTGAAAAAATAATGGAATGGTTTTATTATTTGGATGTCAGTTGTCCAGTATACTGAATCTTTTGCTGTATATATCAGTGCCATATTTTATTGACCTATAGTGCTTATTTTCTCCTCCACAGTTAAATGGATTAGAGCGAACATTTTATTCATTCTATGTGTGCACAGCGGTGCGCAAGTTTTTCTTCTTCCTTGATCCTTTGAGGAGTGGCAGAATTCGCATTCAGGACATCCTAGCCTGCAGCTTTTTAGATGACTTACTAGAGGTTGGTTGTTAAGCTTTTTTTTTAATAGGTTCTACTTAAATAGATGTTTGAAAGAGGGGAGGGCTTAAAAACAACTTATCAAAACATCAGAAAGAGACAGTCATCAGTTTTTGGTTATGTAATGAGGAGAAGAAAACTGAAGTACATTGTGACTACTGGAAAGATCTATGGAAAAAGAGACAGAGGAAGACAATGTCGTGAGACGATTCTTTGCAGCTTTTGCCATGGCATTGTTTGGTGTCAACACACACGAACTGATACATGCTATTGGAGATTGCAGGTTGTGGAGAGACATGATCACTTATGCATTTCGGCAAGGGAATGGATGACGATGTGATAACTTGAACATAAAACTTATGTTAATAAGGTAAATGAAATATCTTATTTTACTGGGAACACTAAACATTTGGAATATTTGCTTTTCCATCAGTGAAGCATGTGGCTTAGGCTGTCATTTGGGAGACCTGTGTTCGAATCCTCATATGTGATGTATTTTTCTGTCAAGCACCAAAAAAAAAAAAGACCTTAACAGTCACAGTCCATGGCGACTACACTAGCCATGTTGTCCTGAACCCTTGGGCTCAAGACCACCCCCGCCCCATTTCACACCTCTCTAAATAAGGTAAATATAGGCAGCAAAAACTGTAGATCAGTATCTTAAGAACACTGAATATGGAATCTGGTGACAATGAAACCCTGAAAGTCTGTTGAAGAAACATTTTCAACTTCAGCCAGTCTTAGCCATTCCATATGTACTGTGCACTGAATAATGAACTCGGTATATCCGAATGTGCCACTCTGCAGATGTAACTTTCCATAATGTATTGTATTCTCCCCCACCCGCGTGTACAAATGCTTGTATAAATCTAGGCTAATTGGCAGTATGACTAGCAAAAAATACAGTACACATTACCTTACAATAAAACTAGCTTAGACTAGTCTCAAGATGATATACCTCATCATCATCATCATCAATCAGCGTTTCCTTTACAGAACGTCACTCTCTTCACAGCATGCCTGAAAGTATCCCTTCCCCTAGCCAGCTCTCCAGCCACATGTGCTTTTTATTCCATTGCATCTTTAATGTCTTGTATCCATCTTTGCGGAGGTCGACCCCTGCCTCACCCTCCACAAACTGTACCCTCCATCACCATCTTTTGCAAGCCACCATGACGCTTGATGTGGCCAAAATACTTCAACTTTTAGGACAGGATGCTGTTTATGAGCCAGTTCTCCTTGATGTTTAACTCTTGTAGAATGTCAATGTTTTTCCCTTTTCTGATCCATGGTATTCTGAAAATTTTTTCTGTGACTTTTTAATTACAAAGCTCCAATCTTTTTCCTAAGTGTCTGAGTGGGAGTCCAGGACTCACAGCCATAGGTTGCCAGAGGAAAAATGCATGATCTCAATCAAGATTTTCACTAACTAAATTACAGGTGCTTCACCATAAGATCCTTATGCTGTTTAATCTCTGCATTGCTAATGCAAGTCTTCTTCTGACTTCTTTAAAGCAGTCGCCACTGTTGTTCACTAAAGAGCCCAAATATTCTAAATCTGCGACGTTTTCTATTTCTTCATTTTCGATTGTGATATGTGTTTGGTGTGCTGTATTTACTGAGCACATGATTTTTTTTTTCTTTAAATGATGATAACAAGCCTGTAAAGAGATTATCAGTTTTCTACATTAACGCCATTAGTGATTACCAGGTTTTATAATTTACATTAACAAACTTGCATTTATTAACAGATGAAAATATTTGAATATTGCTGCTACTTTTTTTCCTCCTGTTCATCTATTGTTGTTGCTGCTTATGTATCTCCTCCTTCTCTCTCTTTCATAGGCTATACTGTCTACTTAGTTCTGAACCTTGTCTAACCTAGTTCAATATGTCTGACCGGTATGAATTTGGATACATTGAAGTTTTACATTGCAGGGTCTGCTCCATTTACGACCGAGTTTTGTTTCATCTAACAGGTCATAAGTCATATTTATATTTGTCAACGCTATTTTTATCCAAACAGGTCATACAAATTGTAAATAAAACACAAAAATTGAATCTGTGCACATATGATTATTGTATGTATCCGTATATATGATGATCTAGGCATCACTTCCAGAACCTCTTTACTCTACCGATATAGTTAACTGCGGATGGTCTAAGTTGCATAGGTAGAAGTTGAGATGAAGGTAAATGTTGGTTTATAGTTTCTTAGTTTGCATCTGCAGAAGTTTTTTGTTGTTGCTTTCCAGCACTCAGTTGTCTTCCGTTGCTTTTTTTTCCAGTTAAGAGATGAAGACCTGTCTAAAGAAATGCAAGAGTCCAACTGGTTCTCTGCACCATCAGCTCTCAGAGTGTATGGGCAGTACCTGAACCTTGATAAAGATAGAAATGGCATGCTAAGTAAAGAAGAGCTAGCAAGGTATGTAGCTAAATGTGCCTAATGCTGATACTAAAACTGCTTAATTTTTTGCCTTAAAAAAAGTAGCTTATCCTTTGCCAGAATGGGAAATCAAGGGATTAAGGAAGTAAGGATGCCCCCCAAAAAACCCCTAAGACGAATGTTGAGGAGAGAGGCCAAAGCTGCTGACTGCACAGGGAAGAACGAAATTAAGGATAGACTGCAAGCCCTGTGTGACATATAATGGCAGAACAGATGTGAATGATAGAATGATTGATTATAAAGCCTATGGTTGTGCGGGCACAGACTCTTGCTTTTATATCCATGATATTATTAGTTTCAAGCAGTATTTAAAAAAAAAAATGCAAATACATGACAGATACTGGTATAGGATATTAGAGGATGGAGGGACCAGGATCCACTCCTGTTCTTCCTGAAAGATATATGTGATCCCTACTTTACAAATCGTACTCATTTCATTAAAATTTCATGTTTCTTTAATAAACATACTTTATACTTATTCAACTGTTTTTGAGGGGGGGGGGGGGGGGGGGCCTGCATGGTGTCTGCCTCGAGGGCTAGAGGTTCCAGGTTCAATCCCTGGAAAGGGATAGGATTTTTTCACGTGGACTTGGTCTTCAAGTAATTACCCCTCTGGGTAGTGAGATCGGATGCCTGTGTGCATTTTGGCGAACGTTAAAAAATCACTTGGCAGTTGGAAATCGAAAAGAATAGCCTAAGAGCGCTGTCCGGGCAAAACTTGGAGTTAAAAATCTACCCAAAGTATTTCAGGATCCTCGCCGGTGCTACAGAGTTTGTGCACTGTGCTGAGCTTCTTCGGACTCAGACTTGAGTTAGAAGAAGAACGGAGCACTTATGGGTTTCTACCCGTGTGCCATGATGTTGATCCATTGCTCAAACTTCAAACCTCAGCTATTGAGGATCATTCCTATTTTAATCAATTAATTGCAGTTCCAGCTTCACAGCAAACGGGTCATCCCATAGTTGCTCTGTTCCTGTGCTCGTAAAAACCACACAGTGTGTCCATCACTGTCCCTTATGAAAACAAATTGACATACACTGCAGTCTTAGCAAAGTCAGCGGCAGGTGCTTCATTAAATGCTTAAGGCAGCCATCAAAAGTGCCAACACAAACAGCCCAACACTAGAAATGCACATCATCATCGATGGAAGAGGTAATTACAACAGATCAGTAGTTGCACCCACAGTTAATCTTATAAGGCACCACCAGTTATCTCTGGCAACAGACTACTTGCCATTATCTGAATATGCAGTTCACATCACAAATGTTGGACACAGTCGAAAAGACATTCCAGATTGAATCTGCAGCTCACACGGTCGTGCCATGCATTCAGCCCAGTAGTAATGAAATATTCTACTTCATCATCTTCAGATTCAACAATCTGTCATGACGTGTTAAGCAGTGTTCGTGCTCAGTATTGAAAAGCACATTTGTGTACACTCGTGTGCTGTGATATGTGGATTACTTCTAGTAATACTGATTGTTGTTTTTAATTATATGAATGTTTCCTACAAGATGCCTTATAGCTGGTAATATTTAACGGTGGTTTTTATTGAATGGTTATTGTTCTTTGTGTAATTGTAGGGGCTAAGTAATGTTCTTGGCTGCTGTGAGTGGAATTTCTCACCTGAGTTTAGCTCCCAAGATTTCTTTTATAGTAACAAGAAATAAAACCTTCCTGGGGTAGTAAAGATGGCCGGTGTAATGCTGACATCATTACCCACTAAGTGCTGATTGGTCTGTAAAAATATGGGTGCTCTTCCCATATGCCCGATGCACCTAAATGCGAGAAAAGGAATCTTTTCTTTTACTTTACTACCAAGAAATAAAGCCCTGTCTACACCATGCAGTAGAAGAAGAGGTGGCATATATTTTGTAAGGATATCAGTGTTTGGCTTGATGTTAGTTTGCTGCCTTGTCACTAATTGTGACTGTATTGTTACATTTATTTCCAGATATGGGACAGGAACACTAACTAGTGTGTTCCTAGACAGAGTTTTTCAAGAGTGCCTCACATACGAGGGAGAGATGGTAAGACAGGGTGCATGTTTCTTTAATTCATCATTTATTTTGTCAGATGGCATAGGTCTTCATTGTCTCTCTACAGATCTTAGTCCTTGGTGTTGTTCATCTTCTTTATTTGTCATCTCACTATTATCAGGTTGCAGCCCAGTGTCGTGGTTTTCTGTATTTATTTGTCTTGCGCTTAAAGGTGGATTTTTGTTCATCTTTGTGATTGTGTGTGTGTGTGTGCGCGCGCGCATGAGTGCAGGTGTGTGGGTGGGATTCAGCCACACCATCTGTCCATCTCTTCTTAGGTCTTCCTGTTGCTTTCTGCCCAGATTTTCTGTTGTAGGTCTCAAAGCAGTTTGGCCTGGTTGCATTCATACCAGTTGGCTAAACCACTTCATTCTCTGTTCAGTGAAGTTCAGCCACCATCTTGTGCCAGCCTTCTTTCTTCATTCTACCTACTGCTTATGCTGTAAAGCATTGCAGAGAGGAGTTAAATATAGTTTCCTAATTTGTACTTGTTGCGCAGTTAGCATTCCAGTCATATTGTATTTCTATAGTTTCTCTTTTACTTCCTGCCATCTTCTTGGTGCTCCTTTCTCTCTCATGATGGTATTTAAGACTCTTGTCCTTTTTTATGTTGTTTATGACCTTTCAGAGACCTCCCATTTCACAGGTACTTATCTTCTGTTCTTATTTTCTAGTCATTGCCCATGCTTGGTACTCATAGCATAAAATAGGGATAAAGATACTGTTAATAATTTGCAGTTTTGGAAGTGAGACATTAGGTTTTTTTAGCAGTGGGTGTAGTTGAGAAATAGCGGCATATGTTCTTGGTGTTATCAATCACTTTTATTGATAAGATTTTCTCCATGTCATAATCATAGACCACCCAGTATAATTATTCTTGAAAGCATCTTTTACCACCGATCTTTGTCATAATGTTCTTCATTGCCTTTCTTTTTATCACATGACATTAGTTTCGTAGTATATAAAACGTGATTGTCCATGTGTATTTCTATATTTCAGGACTACAAAACTTATCTGGACTTCGTGCTGGCTATGGAAAACCGCAGAGAGCCCCAAGCTCTGAGATATTTGTTTAGAGTCTTTGATGTTCAGCATCAAGGCTTCCTTAATGTTTTTTCACTCAACTACTTCTTCCGGGTAAGTGTTTCAGTGAGTTCTGTTTGGAACACTGGAAATATTTAACAGTGTTTTAAATGTTTTTAAAATTGAGAAAATTAATGGGACATAAAATGGGATGAATTCAAGGGGAGTGAAGAAATAAATGAAATGTCTGGGCAACCACTTGTATCAACAGTTATAAGACGAGATATCACTGTGTTGGACAAAAGATGGACAAAATCTTGGAGAAAAGATTAACGGAGAATCACCAAAAGGTCACAAATAAAAAAAAAAGGATTCAGGAAACGGGGACATCCAAGAGAGACCCTAATGTGAACACTGATGAAAGAAGCCAAAGGTGGTGAACTGGATTCCATTCATGATATTGAAGTGATTGCACAAGAAAGAACAAAATAGAGAAATAGACTGCAAGCCCTATGTGACATATACTGGCAAAACAAGACAATGAATGAATGAGTTAAATGTTTAGTTCAGACATGATCATTGCCATATTAACATCAAAGGTGTGCTCTGTAATGGATCTTTAGTATTTTCTGTCTCTTAAAATGATGATAAGATAAAGGTGCCTTTTCCGTGACTTGAGATACATTGGGTATGTGCCGCTAGTCTACTATTTTAAGAGCCCCTCTGACACTCTGTGGGTGACTTGGTAAATATCTCATCAGTCCAGAACATTACCTGGTACTCAGTTTATGCTCAGGGGATCGTAGTTCCAACTGCAGTCTTAGCAAATCAGACCACATAAATGCTTATTAAATGCAAAAGGTAGCAGTCAGATATGCCAGCACAAGCGGTCCAACACTAGAAATGCAGTTCATCATCGATGGAAGCAGCAGCTACAACAAATCACTAGTTGCCCATAGAATTAAAGTCACCCCAAGGTCTCTGGCAGCAGGCCACTCTCTATTTTCTGAGTTTGCATTTCACGGCACAAACCACATTGGGCACAGTCAAAAAGCATTCAAAATGATATCCATAGCTCTCTGTTGTGCCATGCTTTTAACTCAGTAGCTGGACGACAGAACTAAATCCTTTCAGTTTACATATGGGAAAAAATGGAACAACTAACTAGTTTCAGAAACATATACTTGCCATGACTAAAAACAATAAACTCCCCTATTCGCCATATTGACCAGAAGCCATCAGCGAGTGATGTGATGAATATCCCACCAGTCTAGAACATTACCTGGTATTCTTTGTATGCTTGATTTACCTGAGAGTTTAAATGAGTTTAAAATCTCCAACTCAGTGGGAATCAGAACACACAACATAACTGGAAGAGTTGAGTTGAGTCAAGAATTGACATCACAGCACTCAGGGCATTCCCATATGCACTCCGTCCCCATCCGCAGCAGCTAGCGCAGAGTTCCAATACTAATAGTGCCGGTCATAGTCTGGTTGTATGCCCGTCTTGCCTGAGATTAGTGTGCCGGTCAAACCCTCTGGTCACACCCAGGTGCATCATTCTCTCCAGCCCATAATAATCAAGTGTCTCTTCTGACATCGTTACTTGTTCCCAAAGGGCTCTGACCACATCTGCCTTGTGCCTTGGGCTGGAAGACTAAGAATGCAGCCACTGTGCTGCCACTATTGTCTTCAGTAGTGGTAATGTTAACACTCTTCTGTTCATCTTTTGTTACCTACCTTAAATGTAGCCTCTTGCCTGGCTTGCTAGCGTAGTTGGCTAAACTGGATTGCGCAGTGACCGGGAGACGAACTCCTTGTGGTCCGGGTTCACGCCCGGGGGTAGGCAGAAAAGCCACATTTCTCCCAGATTTACCGTATTTATCATGGAATCAAGGCCGAAGGGTTGCGATATCCATAATACCTAGCCTAAGGGTTAAAAACTCATGGCTTCTGGATACTAAAAAAAAAAAAAAATAGTAGCCTTTCTCTTGCAACTTGTGTCTTTTTAATTTCTCTCTAGTGTGGTTTTGAGCAGTTCATCTTTCTATGTTGAAAATATGTTTCTTCAGTTTTGATCTTTTTTAGTAGTTATCTTTTAATTCCTAGTATGTTTAGTTCTTCTTTGTTAAGACTCAGACCATCACATTATTGTTTAGACTAAAAGCAGTTGTTAATTTCAGGCTCATTACATTCCTGTACTGTTTTCGGTGGAATGAAGTTGGATGATGCCATATTGGTTTATTTTCATTATTGTGAGTTGAGCATCACTGTAGGAGATGACAGGCTGTCATGGGGCTGTCACTTCTGGCAAGCACTTTCAGCTTGTGATATAGGAGATATTTCCCCTTGTTGTGTACTGCTTGCTTCTAAAATTGATGACCTGATCTTACGTTGAAAAAGGAACGCATAATATGGTCTTCAGACTGGTAGTTCTATAGTTTTTGTTGTGTTCATAAGTTTAAGTAATTTTGTTGTAAAGATTGAGTTGGGAGTTGAGGTACTTGTTTGTTGTCCACTATGCTGCAGTGGCTGGGTGTCAGTTCTTGTGCATCAGTAGGATTTCTGCAAATTAATGTGGTTGTTCTTTGTTGTGTTTTTTGTTTTGTTTGGTATATCCTAGTGATATGTATAGAGGGGGTTTTCATGTCTGCATCTGTGGCTTAGGCGTTGTGAATCTACCTGATAGTGAGTGTCTGATTCAGTCCCAGCTGCAGTTCATTTGGCAGCAGACGTCTTTTGTTGGTTTCGACAGTGGTACCAAGAGTCAATCGCTGAGAAAGCAATGGCAAATTGCTGAGTGTAAATTTGCCTATAAAATCCACAACCAAAAAAAAAAAATGCTGGAGGTGGCCCTGCAGCATCCTGTTATGTATAAGCGAGTTGCGGTCTCCATGTCTAAGTGGTTCAGCCATTTGCCTCACATTCTGAACATTGCGGGTTCTTCTTCTCCTTCGCATTCACCAGCTGTAAACTGTGGTGGAAAGTTGTGGTTGTTCATCCACTTCTGGACTTTAGTCTTATTCCAGAACTTGAGTTTTGGGTGCACACAAATTTTATAGGTTTGGCTTATATGTATGCAGACTGTTGGTTCCTTGCCTCTCAGATGGATGCTCTTTGAAGAAATTACGGGTTCATTTAATGTACTAATCTGCTCAGCTCATTAATAGTTTTTACAGATTTTTGGGGATCATCATCGGAGCTGTGTTCATGTTTGATGCTAGACTAGCTGTACTGTGGAGACAGACCGAATATTATGGGATAAAACCCAGTGTAATAAGACGATACTCATTACTTTAAAGCTTTTACAAGCTTTTATTAAGTTTGCATTTGTTTGTTATATCATATATTTTGTAAGGTAGAGGATGTATATGAGTATGTTGTTAAAGAGTTGTAAATTTCATTGTCAGGCTATTCAAGAACAGATGAAAATTCATGGACAAGAGCCAATCAAGTTTCAAGATGTCCAGGATGAAATATTTGATATGGTGAAACCAAAGAACCCGCTTCAGATAACACTCCGAGACCTTATTGACTGGTAAACATGTGTTTTTAGCTTGCTCATTTGAGATTTGTTTTTTATTATTAAGCTTGTTTAATGTTTTCAAAGATTGTTAGCAATGGGGTCTGTTCTTATTTTCCCCAAAATAGGCTCAGGGAACTCAGAACTGAGATGCAGTACCTTTCTGCTTTGCACATAATCATTGGGTAGATTAAATTATCATTGTTAAAGATGATTTTTCAGTACATACCATTCTTAGTTGGAGCCACACAGGATTCAAAAAATAACACCACTCAGCACCATTCATTCATCCTTTAAAAATGTTTCAGTGTTTATTTTATTATCTATCCATGATATTCTAAACATCCTTCTCAAAAATCAGATCTGTACTACCTCTAGCCTCTGTGTCTTACAAATGACCCTAAATGTTTGAATTTGCTAGTTTTTTAAATGAGAAATTTAACCAGGGTTCGTAGTGGACCGGGAAATCGGGAAATTACCAGGATTTTTTTCGTTGACCTTGAACCGTGATTTTTAGCTAATAAAAGACATTCCGACCTTGAAAAGCCGTGAATTTTGACCGCTGCAATGAAATCGTCAGAAATCCTGTGTTTTTCAGCACAGGCAATTTTGGGGGAGCTATTTGGCTTTTTTGGCCATTTGGCTAGTTTTTGGCTACTTTCGTTGTATAGTCGTTTCAGGTGTGAGGGCAGCTGATTATTGGCTATTTTCAGCCGAAATGGCTTGTTAAAGGGAAGGGCGGGCTGTGTTGCAGATCATGAATACATGCAGACAGCAGCGATGGGGCATGGGGCGGGAAGTAGCTTCCCGTCTCGGGCGCCCGTGTGTGTATGTGTGTGTGTGTGCCTTTGTTTCTAGCGAGTCGGGAGAGCTGGTGAGAGACCTAGGTTTTTTTGTCAGGACAAAGGAAATGCTACATGATGATGATATATGTGCTGGTATACCAACACATGTGGCACAAATGAAGTACCTTGTGTGCTCAGTACACCCTTGAACAAGGCAAAAATCTTGTTTCAGTATTACACCGAGACAACCTTGAAAAAAACTAAGGAGACCTTGAAAAAGACCTTGAAAAGCCTTGAAATTGATTGGTAAATTCACTTCCCAATGGTGCCAGACTTTTTTCAAAAATGACCTCGGCTCCTAGGTCGACCCTTGAGTGGGTACTGTGTCCAGTCCCGGGAAGTAAAGGTGGCCGGCATGATGCTGACCACATCACCCATCTTGTGCCCATTGCTCTATTAAATATAGGTCTAGCCCTATATGCCCTATACGCCTAAAGGCGTAGCAAAGGGTCTTTTACTGTTTTTTTTTAAAACCTTTTTTGTTAAATAACTTATCAGCAAGATGTTTTTCATCCCACAGTGGTAAAGGTGATACAGTTGTCAGCATCCTGATCGACTTAAATGACTTCTGGACATATGAAAATCGAGAGTACCTAGTGCCTGACTTATCTGATGAAGTATGACAGTAACGTTTGTAGCGAGGATTTATGCATTATTCAAGTGTTTGCACATAATATAAATAGTTTCCTTAATATGTTTAGTAAATTATCATCATCATTCTTTTGTGCCATTTAGAGATACAGAGCTGGCGAAAAGTTTATATTTTGGAACTTTCACTATAACCAGTTACTATGTATGATTTGATAAGTTGATATTTAGTTTTATTGAAAACTAATTTAGCAGAATAGGGTGTATCTTTGTTTTATTGTATGAATAAATGCTGGAATTTCTAGTCACATAAAAGGTCTATGTTAGGTTTTTTTAAGGGAGAGTTGTATCACGTTTGCTAGGCTTACAACACGAATATAATAAATTTCTATTTGTGCTTATCTGTCTGAAAACATGTGTTTGCTTTTTTTTAGTTGGATGAGTTCAGTCATTATTGACTTTTTTTTTTTTTTTTTTCAATTTTCATTTAAATTTTTTTTGTTTGAGTCTGATGAAGACAGTTTTGTACAAATGGATTTAGTGGACTAAATAATGCAGAATTTATTGTATGCATGAAACATTCACAGGGTATTTTTTTCAATCATATATGAACAGCAGACTGGAAAACCACAGTTTAAAAAAAAAGTGTGACAGTATCACTTAAAAAAACAACAACAGTATAGCAGTATATTAGCCCTACCTTGTCTGGACTTATGTTACTTTGTAACTGTTGGGAGACCTAGTAACACCTTACAGTGAAACTATGTTTCTGTGATTTGTACCTATGGGATCTCATTCAAATACTGAAACTTTTTGTCATCTGGTGTTAATCGCTCAGTGTGCAATCCTGGTGGCATTCAATTTCACTCACTCAAAAAAGCAATATCTGTTTATGGAAATGACATGTCATTATTAGAGTGATGTTCTGCAAAAGACTTGCTACGTGATAGTGACTATAACACACACTGTGATGCATGCTGAAATAGACAAATATCTTTCACATGATCAGACCAGTGTGAAAACTTATCACAGAAAGTGGGTTGCCTGGGATGCAGAAAGGTAATTAAGAAACAGACAAAACTGAGTTTGTACTTTATCATTGTTTAGTTTTTAAGGCAGCATTAGTTAAAATAATTTTGAGTCCTATGTCTGAGTGTAAATATGGCTTTATATGAGAGTGGAATTATAATATCCTGGTTTATGTTTAAGTAATACTATTTGGTATTTTAAAAGAATGTATTGTTTGTTTTTATTGTCATTTTTTTTCTTCATATTAATAAAATCATTGGGTTTTAATTGAAAATTAGTTTTTGTTTGAATGGAAGACAAGGATGTGTATAGTTTCAATGCATGTACATTATTTATTGAGAGAATATTCAGACAGACAGAAGACTTGGATGACTCAACATTTGAGTTACGTTACAGACTGACATCACAACACTGGGGACATTTCCACAACTGCACTCCAGCCACATCTTCAGCAGCTAGTAGAGAATTTCAGTTATGATGGTGTCCGTAACACTCTGATTGTATGTTCGTCTCGCCTTTCCTCTGAGTGTCAGCCAGATCCTCTGGTCACTGCCCACTGCACCATTCTCTTCAGACCATAATGATCAGTTTGGGCTTCTGAGTTGTTTATTCACTCAAAGAACCTTTACATCTAGTTTGCCATGCGTCAATTTACCACGGAGTGGTGCAGAACCAGCCAGTCTGTCTGCCTGTACATCTCCCAACACACATAAGTGGCCTGGAATGTGCTAGGCCGAAGAGTGCAAACCATAACTCAACACGCCAACCACCCTTCTGTGGGCGAACCCAAAGAAAAGAAAACTGAGAATATTGTTGGGGATATTGTGAATATGGTATTACAAAAAATAAATAAAAGCACATGTTGAGATTCTCAGAGATGCAGATGAAATAAGAGCACTCACTAAAACCAGGGATAAGACAAATGGAGTTTTGAGATGGGAATCCTTGGACAGGACAGATGAATAAGCTTGGGGAGAGGGGGGGGGGGGGGGGGGTGAAGGAAAGGGACGCAAATAACCCAGACTACAAATATAGGCGGAGACTGTTAGCAGCCTCGGCTAGCTAGAAGCACTTTGAAAGTGGTCAAACCTTTATGTTTTTCTCTAAAAAGGAATCGGAATTAGAAAAACCAATTAATGCACTAATTTTGTAAAATTCAGAACATAAATTGGTATAGGATGTCTTTGTATGTGTGGGAAAAAAAGGGAAAGGGCCGTTTCCTGGCCATTTTAGTTAGGACCAGCCTAGAAGTCAAAGATTTAAACCATGTGAACTACCTCCAAAGGCCTGGATGCAATGATTCCCATTTGGACCAATATGTGCCTTCTAAAAACACCCCAGCCTCATTATAGGTAAATTACTGACCCAGAACTTAGAAAAACAGGTATTTGTGTAAATGGAATGTGTTGAAAAATGCACGTAGGCCTTGGAGCTTGAGGCCTCCCCCCCCCCATCCCACCCCCCCCCCAAGGTCCTCATCAAACTTTAGAGCAGAAGGGAAGTTAGAGTCCCAATGTTTTCTTTTCTTTATGTCGGCGCACCCAACAGCACATGATGACGACGACGATGTTTATAATTTGCATCGGTAAGAAATGGAAATTCCCACAGCTTATATGCGATTATTTTTTTTTTTTTTTATAAGTAATATTATAACACCTAATTTTAGGGTTCTTCTTCTTCTTTACGTACTCTTTAACCGCTTTAGAATTCAACTTCTGTAAACTCTAGACGTCCAATTTGGACTTTGGTCCCTTCCAGATCTTGATTTTTCCGCGCACAACCGTTTCACAGACCTGGCTTATTTGTATGCAGATTGTTGATTCCTTGCCTCTCAGGCAGATGCACTCCGACTTGGGAGGAAACAGTCCTACGACATGCTTGTAAGGGGGCAGAGGGAGAAAAGACCCTCCCCCTGCCCCTCAACAAGCAAAGTGTAAAAAGCGATCAATTGAAGATTCACTGAATCGGATGTGTTGGACCGAAAAGTGCACGTATCGTGACCTATATGTAAACCACAATGAAACGATCGAACGGTTCGTGCCCTCCGGGCTGCTACCCCAGGGTTCACCACCCTAAGATTTGAAAAAAAAAAAAAAAAAAAAAATCCGAGTCTAAATTTCTGACCAACAGGGCATATTCCAGATACGTGGTTCAACCCACAAATAACTTTTAAGAAGCAGAAACAGTTTTTTAAAGTTGGTTTTCCCGATTGTCCGTTTCTTCTTCGCGTTCCCCATGTGTAAACTTCAGCGGGAAGTTCCAGCTGTTCGCCCACTTCTGGACTTCTCTTGATCTAGAAATTAAGTATTGTGTGCACATCCAGAGTCAGGCTTATTTGTATGCAGAGTAATGGCTTTTTGCCTCTAATGCGGTTGCACTGTGACTTCGAAGGATATGTCTACTTTTACGACATGCTTGTTAAGAGGCAGTGGGTTTGCTCTTGTTTTCCCCCTTATTGGGAGCCCGAAACACCCCCACCCCCTTTTCCCCCCTTCTCTCCCCCGGAACGGGGATCCCCGATTATTTAAAAGTCAAATTATGAAATCTAAGAATGACGGTGTTATTCTTGATTTTCCCGTTATTATATATGCATATGTATATATATATACTTCTGTACTGCGTATCTGAAAGCTCGATTTGCAATATTCTATCATAATTTGATGTTATTTCTAACCAGTCAAGAGAAATTCATCAGCTGAAGAAGGTAAATTATATAACAAACGTAATTTTTTTCATATGGAACTTGACTTATAATTTTAATATAACCAGTTAAAAAAAAAAATTGTTTTAAAACTCACACATTACAAAACTGGTAATTTGTTAACACAGCAGTAATTTGAACCTGTTTTCATGAAATGACACACAGTACTCTCCTAAAATCGAAAAATGAGATGAAAGTTGCACTAGAGACACAAGCTGAGGGCTAAAGGACGTCAGTGATATAAAAGGGTTGTGAGAGCCTTAAGATGCCAGGAACCTGTAAAATAATAAAATATACACTATAATCTCAGGACAGAATCTGCCGAAGGTCCATTTCTTTCGGGGAAGAAACACTTACTTGCTGAAAAAGATCATTAATCGGAACGCCAGGTGATAGCTAGTCTTTCCTGTTGAGTCTATCTAATGCGGCACTTGGGGCAGAGGTCATAGCTCTCCATGTCTGGCGGTTAGTTGTCGCCTTTTGAAGGTCTTGAATGTTTATTAGGTCCTTAGTTCAGCCTTCCCTGATAATTGTTCTACGCAATTGGTCCTTCCCGTTTTCATTTCCCTTCTGGTGCCCAAATGAAGGTTTTATTTGAAAGGGGGGGGGGAGGGGTGGGGGGGGGGGGAGAGAAAAATATGTTCACTTCCTCTTCTGGGGGTATAGAAATATCTATTCCACCATATAAAGATATAAATCGATATGAGGGACTATATACCCACCGGACAGGTCTAAATGTGAAATGTGACCTGCCCGCTAGGGGCGTCAACGTCACGAATAGTCTAATGTGCAGGGTTTGGTTGATTCACTCCACGACAGTCCTATACGTCTAAAATTTGGAAAAGAGACCTTTACTTTTCACTGTTACTATTAGCATTGCATTATTTTTTACATCTAGGCTGCGATATATGCAATTTTTCAGTCTAACAAATCAGATTCAAGCTTCAAGCAAACTGCAAAACTAGTCGACTTTTACGGCATGCTTCTATGAGGGCAGTTGGCAGTCACCGTCGAAATGATTTTGTCATCTGGTTGTTCGTCTACTAAGGATATGTTCAGTTGTGTATAAAAGTCTTTGCTTTCTTCACCGATATAGGAAGCGTAACTAATTTCTCATGGGAACAGCCAGTAGAAGTGCCTTGGAGTGGCTGCTGAATCGGAGGAATGGGCGCGCATGGGATTGCTCATCTGTAGTGATGTCGACTGACTCCCTACTGCCCCCTTAGAAGCATGCCGTAAAATTCGACTCATTTTGGAATTTGCTTAAAGCTTGAATCGTATTTGTCCACTCCTGGACTTCTCTTGATCTAGGAATTGAGAGTTGTGTACACATCCGTGGTCAGGCTTATTTGTTGCAGAGTAATGGCTCCTTGCCTCTCATGCATTTACACTCCGACTTCGAAGGAATTCCTTAATTAGTAGACTCTTACGACATGCTTATTAGGAGACAGTGGGTTTTCTTTAGTTTTCCCCCATAATGGGAGCCCAAATTCTCCCACCCCTTTTTTCCTTTTCGCTCCCCGGAACGGGGATACCCGATTATTTATGTCACATTCTAAATTGTTTTTCTTGATTTTTCCGTTATTATATATATATATATATATATATATATATATATATATATATATATATATATATATATATATATATATATAATATTTCTGTATTGCGTATTTAAAAGCTCGACTTGCAGTATTCTATCGTCAACTGCTAACAACCTGAAATATACTAATGATACAGTTTTGATCGCTGAAAATGAAATACAACTGCAAGAAATGATGACTATAATTGTAAAGGAAAATGAAAACAAGGGTCTTAATTTGTACAGCAGAAAAACAGAGTTGGTAATTACAAAGAAAACACACCCGCCAAAATGCAACATCATAATAAATGGAACAAACATCAAGCAAGTTGATATATTTGAGCACTTGTGTGTCCTGATAAAATCAGATGGAAGATGTATTTTAAAAAGTTAACTGTATAATAGCTCAAGCAAAGACAGCGTTATACAAAATAAAGAATATTTTATGCAATCTTTCTTTGTCGATTAGGACGATAAAGAGAATTCTTGAAAGCAATTTGAATCTTCTTTTGATATGCGGAAGTAAATCATTAACATTTGGTAGATTAGTGGAGAACTATTTGGAAGCTGCGGAGATGTGGTTTTATAGACAAATGACAAGAATACCTTGGACAGATAAAAAGAGTAATGAAGATGCCCTGAAAGAAACTCTCACGAAGAGAACCTTTTCCCACATCAGAACAAGACAGTCCACATTCCTTGGTCGTATCATGAGAAGGAGAAACCTGGAGTACATTGTGACAGTAGGAAAGTTGGAGGGGAGGAGATGCAGAGGGAAACGGAGAAAAAAGATGCTGGGCAGTTTGACATCATGGCATAGAAGATCATCTGTGTCAGAGCTAACTGAAAGTACACGAGACGGAAAGTTGTGGATAGACATGACTACCAACGCCACGCGGTATGGTGCTTTAAAGTAAAGGGGTGAAATACATCAGTCTTTCAAATATGTCAAGTTACCCGTGTGGGTTCCGGGGCCCTTTTAAAAAGAAAACTAGAATAGACCCAAAAGCATGTCGTAAGAGTCGACTAATTGGGAGCTTCCTTCAAAGTCGGAGTGCATCTGCCTGAGAGGCAAGGAACCAGCAGTCTGCATACAAATTAGTCAGATCTGCAAAACGGATGCACATGCAACACTTAGATTCTGGAACAGGGCTGAAGTCCAGAAGTGGATGAACAACCAGAACTTTCCGCCTTAGTTTACAGCTGGCGAACGCTAAGAAGAAGAAGAAATATGCCAAGTGTTTCTTTTTCTACGGGTAACTTAGCAATGATTCCTGCGTCATATGTTGGACGCAATTTTTTTTTTTTAATTGTTTGAAAGCTCAACCCTTGCTTGCCGGGAGCCCTAATATAACCTTAACCTATGGGTTGAATGGAGTTTTCGAGACCTCTCCCTGGTTGATCCTCATCAGTATGATGGCACATTGTGTCATCGGGTGTTTATAGCTCGGTGGATGTCCAGATGGGGTTGACCGTTAGTCAGTCAGTCGGGTAACTTAAAAATATGAACACATCACAGACAATTTGGACCGTTGGGTAGTTACATTTGAGAGCATGATGCATTTCTTGAGAGTTAGGAAATATATATCCCTGTGTGATTTCCGGGATAACATTGTGGAGGGGTGGGGGGGGGGTGGGGGTGGGGGGTGAGGGGTGGGGCGGAAGACAAGAATAGACCCTCTACCTCCCCAACAAGCATGTCGTAAGAGTAGACTGATTGGGGGTTTCCTTCGAAATCGAAGTGCATCCGCATGAGAAGCAAGGAACCAACAGTCTGCTTACAGATAAGTCAGATTTGTAAATAAATGTGCACGCAACAATCAGGTTCTGAAACAAGTCTTAAGTCCAGACGTGGAATAACAATGAGAACTTTCCGCCGGAGTTTACAGATGGTGAGCGCGAAGAAGAAGAAGAAGAAATATGTACTGGGTACTGTCAGATAAATTATGACTTTGGCCAGACTATAGATCACATTATTTTTTTTTTAAATATGGGCGGTGCTCATCATAGGTGAATATTTATATCTGTGTACGCTAGCGCCCCTCTAACCTTATTCAAGAAAATGAAACTCACAGGGGATCCTCCAGATGAGACGCTGCCAGTTAAAAATGAAACAGCAGCGGCTAGGGCATCTGCAATACCAGCCATATCCTAGTTATGCCACTGAAGATGAATATTATAAGAAATACTAATTACAATATGAAATGTGGCGAGAAAGCTCAACAGAGGACATTTAAAAAAAAAAAAAAAAAAACGAGAAAAATATAACCGAACGTTTGGACCAAAGTCTTTATCAGTGTACTTAAATACAACACAAAAAGACTAGAAAACCCAACGGACAAGACAACAGAGCATCTAAACATGCAAGGTCAATATGAAACCAAGAAATTCGTTAACAACAAGGTGGGAAAAAAAGGGGGGGGGGGCATGAAGGGTTATGTAACGAAACAAGTAAAAAATTTCGTTTCCCACATGATCTATTAGTTTAGCTCACTGTCTTTCTCAAACATTTTCATTTCGCTGGTGTCAGTTTTCTTTGTAATTCTTTAGTCAAAGTCCAAGTCTGACTGTTGGATTCTTGGTTCAATCTCGGTATTTATTCTGCCATCAAATATAAAGATGTTCCCCTAGAATTTAAAGTGTACAATTTGTTTTGGGAGTCGCCGTGGCGTATCGCAGGCGGATCGGAAAGTCGTGGGTTCGCTCCCTGGTGGAGCCAGTTTTTTTTCAAAAATGACCTTGATTCCCAGGTCTACCCGGCATGGAGATCTATAGATCTCAAATGCTCTAAATGTCTTTTCAGTTTTATGCATGTGTGTGTGTGTGTGGGGGGGGGGGGGATTATCTTTATTTGTCATTTAATTTATATTCATAATAAATATTTTACGTTCCAACACTGCTCAACATTACAATTAATGCGCGCGAATGCATGTGTATGTGTGTGTGAATTTTTTTTTTATCTTACCAACAGATCACTATTTGCCTACGGGATTCACAAAAATGGGTCAAGAAATGGATAAAATGGTTAAGAAATTAGGAGAACATTCTGGTACGGACCTTCCCGACCTGGAAACACTGGGGAGTCAACTGGAATTGCCGAGTCCGGAAGAAATGAAAAACCAGTTAGAACAGCTGCAACAACTGGTCAGAGGAGAATCTTCTCAGGGTGACCAGAGACTGTCTACACTAAACAAGTTGTTCAGGAAACAACACAAGAAACTATCGAAACTAGGAAAAAAAATGGTATCAGACAGCGACCTTATTAAAATGTTCAAAGAGCAAGGAGACATCAATCTACTTGATATCGATGTAGATGCAACACCTCTGATGGTGTGTGCTGGTCTGGGAAAGACGAAGGTGGCAGAGACATTGCTAGATCAGGGAGCCGATCCTCGCGTAAAAAATGGAAGGGGTCACACTGCGCTTCTAATTGCCTGTGCAGGAGGACAAGCCGATTTTGTTCGGCTTTTACTTTCTAGGAACGTCAACATAAATGATACAGATTATCAAGGCGATACAGCTCTAATGTGTGCAATTATTGGATCAAATGGGGCCGTCGCCAGGGAACTGATTGATCATGGAGCTGACATCCATGTAAAGAATAACAAGGGTGATACAGCTTTAAACATAGCAGCCTATAATGGACTAAATGACATTGTCCGCCTGTTGATTAAAGGGGGCGCGGATGTGAACACGAGTGACAGAAGAGGTTGGACACCACTGATGAGCTGCAGTCAGTTTAACCTGTTTGAGACAATGGGAATACTGGTAAAGGCAGGAGCTGATGTAAACAGAAAACAGGTGTCAGGTGGCACAGCTCTCGAGATATGCTCTGGCCATGGTCATGTGGAAAACATGAAAATTCTCTTAAAAGCCGGTGCAAACATTGACAATATAAACAAGATAGGACTCACAGCTTTAAACATAGCAGCCAATCAAGGGAAGATATTGGCTGTGAAAAAGCTTATCAAGCACAAGGCATCTGTAAATATCAAGGATAAGCATGGACGCACGCCCCTTTTCAACAGTGCTCTTTCTGGCTATGAAAGTATAGCGGATATGCTTCTCAAAGCTGGAGCAGAGCCGGATATCGTTGACGATGACGGCGACACAGCCTTGATGTGTGCTTGCCTCAAGGGATACACTGGAATAGCTGAGTTACTGCTTGAAAGCGGTGCCGATGATACGATCTGCAATTATAACGGTGCAAATTCTTTAACTATGGCTGTGCAAAACGGTCACAGACAAATTGTCCGGCTACTGCTGGCTCGACATGAAGCTGCCTATCCTGAAATCAATAAGAAAGGCAAAAAAGGGATGCCATTACTTCTCAAAGCTGCAGTCAATGGTAATGCTGAAATTATGAAGATGTTAATTGAAGCTGGTGCAGATGTGAATGTCGTAGGCGATGATGGCAGGACAGCACTGGTTTTATCTGCTGTCTTTGGCCGCACTGAATCCTTACGCTTGCTTCTTGCTAGAAAGGCGGAAGTGAATGCATCTGATAAAGACGGAGACACGGCATTGATGTTTGCTGCATTGAGAGGATATTTGAAAATTGTGGAAGCTTTGGTGACTGCTGGGGCAGATGTTAATTTGTCTAACACAAATGGCCGGACAGCGTTGATCAATGCAGCATACAATGGTCATCATTCTGTCGTAGAGTATTTGTTAACAAACAAAGCTGATGTCAATGCAGAAGAAGCAAAAGGGTGGAACGCATTAATGTTGGCATCTCAGTTCGGACACACTTCAGTAGTATCTGAACTTCTCAGCAAAGGATCATCTATCAATACTAAAACTGTAGCAGGCGCTACACCCATTAGCATCTGTGCATCAAATGGTCACAAAGACACTGCTGAAATTTTGCTTGACCATGGCGCATCAGCTGATATCCCCGATGAAGATGGTGATACACCATTAATGGATGCAGCAGCAAAAGGTCACACTGGAATAGTTGAGCTTTTAGTTAAAAATAAAGCAGATGTTAACATTGCTAATCACAAAGGAAGCACGCCGCTTATAGTGGGTGCTAACTTTGGACACGCAGATATTGTAAATTTATTGCTGGAAAGGAAACCTGATGTCAATAAAATTGGCAGTGAGGGTGCCTGTGCCATCCACACGGCAGCTTTAAATGGGCATAGACTTATTGTGGAAGCTCTCATTAAGCATGGAGCAAGAGTTGATATTGTTGACAAAAAGAAACGAACTGTTTTAATGATGGCAGCATACAAGGGAAATGCAGATATAGTTTCTTTGCTACTGGAGGAGTGCAGTACAAATGTGAATCAATGCAACGAAGAAGGGTGGACACCATTAATGTACAGCACCCAGTTTGGACACACAGAATGCATGAAGAAACTGTTGGATAAGGGAGCCGATACAGAAATAAAAGACCACAAAGGAAATACTGCTTTGAATACTTGCAGTGCTAATGGTCACAAAGAAGCAGTTCGCTTGTTACTGGATAAGCACGCCAACGTAAACACACAGAATAATGTTGGTCTTTCACCTCTGATGATCAGTGCCAACAACGGTAACACAGAGATTGTGAAGTATCTTCTTATCCACAGTGAAAATCCTAAGCCAGATCTAGAACTCAGAGAATATGTAAGAGGAGAAACAGCCTTAATCATGGCTGCCAGGAGAGGACATTCTGACATCGTCAAAGCCTTAGTCGAAAAAAATGCCAACATCAATGCCACCAACATACACAACAGCACGGCACTGAACATAAGCTGCCAGTATGGCTTGACTGATGTTGTGAAATGTCTTTTAGACAATGGTGCCGACGTGAATCTAGCGGACAAAGATGGTGATACGCCCTTGTTATCATGTGTTGTAAGCAATAATAGCCTTATTATACAACGACTTCTGGATGCAAAGGCAGACGTTCACAAGAGAAACAATAAACAGAAAACAGCTTTACAAATCAGCGCTGAAGCTGGCTGTCGCCAATCTGTGTTATGTCTTCTAAAGAGCGTAAAGTTTCCGCCAGAAGAAATACAAGAAGCTTCTGAGGCAGCGAAAAGATTCATGCACGAAGACTTGGCAGACTTGATTTCAAGTCCAGAGATTTCCTTCTGTGCAGGTATAATTTGTTAGGTCAGTGTTCGTATTATATGTAACTACAAAGCTATTCATGACATCTGGGTTGAAACCCTTGTTATTATAATATAGCAGTGAAAACAGCAAAAGCTCTATAACATGAATTCCAAGGAATCGAAAATCAAGATTCATGTTGGAAATACTTGCTAACAGTGGACTAATGTACTGTAATAATGCATGTATGACATTCCTGGAGGGACAAAAAAAATTATGTTCAGATTAACTGAGTCTTTTTTAAATTATAAATTCTTCTTTAGAGAGTAATTTACACTCACTTCTTCTTCTTCTTCACTTCCTCTTTTACCGTTGTGGGTGTCGAGGGAGATATAAGGTTCTGTTTCTAGCTCTTCTGGCTGCCTCGACCATAGGCACATCGTGCTGTTGTAGAGTTTCTCTGATGTTATCCTTCCATCTTGTTCTTGGTCTACCCCGTGCTCAACGTCCTTCTTCTCTTTCCATGTATGCTTTGTATGGTATGGTGTCACAAGGCATTCTCTCTAAGTGGGCAAACCATTTCATGTATGTAATCTAGAATTGGTTCTGTGCCGACTTGTTCTCTTATGATCTCATTCCTGATCTTATCTCTTATGGTCACTCCTACAGCCCTTCTCAGACATCTCATTTCCGTGGTTACTAATTTTCTTTTATGGTTTGTTGTGAGTGACCATGTCTGGCACTGGTAGCACAGAGTTGGAATAAATATGCTTTGAATAAGATGTCTCTTTGTGCTGATTGGGATTGTCTTATGCTGTAAGAGGGGTGCTAGCTGTCTCAATACTTGGTTTGCTTTACTGCATCTAATGTCAATTTAATTATCCAATTTCCCATCTTCGGTAAATGTAGTTCCTAGATATTTAAACTCAGATGCCTGTTTAATGTCTTTGTATTCTATTGCTATGTTTAGATCTGTCTTCTTTTTTCCTATTGACATTACTTCTGTCTTTTCAGTGTTGATTCTCATATTATTTGTTTTACATTCTTCATTCATGGATGTTAGATGTTGTTGCAATTTCATGGCTGTATCTGCTATCAAGGCCTGGTCATCTGCAAAGAGTAATTCGTTGATCTTACTAAGATCTTCATTCATGGGCTTGGCGTTCTTGCATATACTGTCGATGTAGGTGATAAACAGCAGTGATGATAAGACACACCCTTGTCTTACTCCAGATGTCACTGTGAAAGGATGAGATGTTCCCTGATTTATTCTAACTACACTTCTACAATCCCTGTATAAACTTTTGCACACTTCGATGAGGTGTTCGCTTACTCCATATCTTGCCATTATTTTCCATAGTAATTGTCTGTCGACTCTGTCAAATGCCTTCTCCTGGTCTACGAATGCCACAAATAAGTTCTTATTGTATTCAATGTTCTTTTCTATTAACTGTTTAAGTGTTAAGATTGCATCTGTGCAGCTTCTATTTTTCCTAAATCCCATCAGTTCTTCTGCCAGCTGTGGTTCTATCACTGGTCTCAGTCTTGTTTCTATTATCTTGGCATACATTTTGCCAACATGGCTTAAAAGAGAGATGCCTCGATATTGACCGCATTCTCGTTTGCTTCCTTTGTTCTTCCACAATGGTATAACTATTGCATGTTGCCAATCAATAGGGGCTGTTTGTTGTACCCATGCTGCATTGAATATTCTGTAAAGCCATCTGATGCTGCTTTCACCTGCTGCTTGAATTATTTCTGTTGGTAATCTATCAGCTCCTGGTGCTTTATATCTGGGAGACTGTTTAATGACTTTTTCTATTTCATCCATTAGTATGTGTGGTTCTAACACTGTTGCTCTGTGCTCTTCAGTTGTTCTTTCCTGATGATCTCCTAGAGGATTAAAGAGCTCATTGAAGTATTCCCTCCATCTTTCTTACACTCACGCTTCCACGAAACCTGCATGATTTTAAATTACTGTGTGTTGTATTTTAAATAAAAACTTATTTGATATTCATATATTTTTTAAAATCATTTTTTAAAAATAATAACTCTTTTGAGATTTTCGTACGCAGTTATGTTGTTGCTGCTGTTGTTGTTGGTATTGTTAACTAGTCTTTCTATTTTAATTGGTCGCGTGTATGCCTGTAGGAAAACTGCGTTATTTTATGTCACTACTGGTAAATTCATTGCGGATTCCTCCTCCTCCATCCTTAGTGCTTCCTTTCGTGAGCCATCCATTTGTTTTGGTGGTAATTTTGCTGTAACAGTTGACTAGTGAATGTCTACATTTCTCCTTTGGCCAGGATGCCGTCTATGGTGTTTTTGATTTGTGGGAGATACTTGGAGTTCAATGATGGGCATTCGGGATAAGGAGGCAACTTAATATTCACATCAGAAAAATGGAAGCTCATATTGTACGTGTAATTCTTTGACTGTTTGGATGAAGTTCGTTTTTTTTAAAGGAGAGATCTGTGATCTAGATGAGATATTTTTCTAGTGCTGCAGATTTGGAGTAATGTGTGAGTTTCTTTGAATTCTTCCTGTCTTCCCTTGATTGCAAACCTGGCCTTGTTTCTCTCGCTGCAATAGGTGTTGAGCTTTATCTGTTTTCATAGATGGTTTCGGTTTTGTACCCATGGAATTTCCTGGAAACTGCTTTTACCTGTTTTCCCCATGCTAATAATAATACTATAATACTGGGTCAACATATAAAATGTAAGTTTTCCTGAGCATTTCAGTTCTACTGTATGTTCCTGTTAATTTAAAAAAAAAATCAGTCATTTTTAATCCATTGAGGGAGAAATAAAAAGGGAAGTTATGGGTGGGGAGGGGGTGCCAGCTTACATGTTAACCTTCCCGGTGATGTTTTTAAAGACAAGCTCATTTTATACGTCAGGCGTAACAAACTAGGGTTTCCCCTAGGACCACAGGGATTTTTCATGTGTCGTTGTGTGACCACATGAGACGACTAATTAAACTCACTTAACAATCATGATCGCAGAATCTGTTCTTTATTACTTACATTTAGAAACCTACAGTTTGCATACACATGGTGAAGCGGCTAGCTTCATACATGAATGCAAAGTAATGAAGTAGTTGAACGAATTAGGAGGGGTGGGGATTTAAATGGTACAGATGCCTGGGGTACTTTGTTTGGGAAGGGTTGACTTTCATGGTCTAGTTTGTGGACCATTATTCCAGGACATCAGAGACTGACTTTAATCTTTTCTGAGCAATTTTAAGAGTGATCTGTACAAAGAAGTACTGTATTCTTAACGCGGACAGAACCTTTGACGTTCGGGGTTATTACTTGCTTGAAATCATTCCTATAAACGAGAAAAAAAAAAAAAGAAAAAAAAGAATGGGCTAGAGAATTCATTATTACGTACTTAAGCAAGGCTTAGTCCCATAAGGTTCCCCCCTCTGAAAACTTGTAAAGGGGGCTGACCTCTCCCACTACCCTCCCGAATCTTTTCTTTGCATCGGCATCAATGCACGGCCGGATGTTTATATTCACATATTAATGCTAATGCACTTTTGTAATTACTATTAAAGTAGCAACAGTTTGTTTCTGCGATGACAGAAGCAAAACATTGTACAGTAAATTAATATTTTATACTTAAAACATAAACTTTGTTTCCAGAAGCGTCAACTGCACCAGAAACAACAGGAAAACGTTTATTGAAGACAACACCACAGGATAGAACGCCAGCAGATGATGGAATCTATAGCTTCATGAAGAAGAAGTCGAGACACCCAAGGTGAGATGAACATTCTTATTTATTAGTGAAATTTGCCACACAAAATTGTCTTTGTTTTGGGGTAAAGAATGCTGCGATGAGTGTTAAAGTATTGTTAGCATACCATGCAAATTGTCATTACTGCTCAAACTTGCGATGTACAGTCAATCATTCTCAGTGAGAACATCAACAAGCATAATTAAAACATTTTACAATAATTTCAAACAAAACGTTCGTTAAAAAAAAGAAGAAGAAAAAAAGGTAACCACACCATTGTTGGGACTTGACCTAACATTCCCCAGGTTTGGATTCTGGGACCCTACTACTGGGGAGGGGGGGGGGGAAGACCTACTACACACAAGAAGCATGTCGTATAAGGCGACTATTTAGAGATATTTTCTTCGAAGTCAGAGTGCATCAGATGGAGAAGGAAGGACTATCGGTCTGAATTCAAGTAAGCTAGATTTGTAAAACGTGTGTGCACGCAAAACTGTATTTCTGGCCTATGACGACGACGACCTAAAAATAAAGAAATAAAAAGGCAGGATGTATACACCAACTACTCTAAATTGTATTTAATATATTACTGTACAGTTTAAACGGTTTTATGTATCGTTTCTGATTATCCTTAGCAATGATTCAAATAACGCTTCCAATCGTCATGAAGAATCAAACAGCAACTTTACAATTTCTGACCTGTTTAAGGACTTGAAGAAAAATGTAAATCGGTAAGTAAATGCTACTTTAATTGTGTCAGTGTTTTTCAACCATTTAACACCAATGAATCAGGGGAATGGGATATTTTTTCCCAGACCAGCTGATGGTTAAGGCAGTAACAAATTATTAGAAAAAAAATATGTGTGCCGTCTCAGAACAGAGATTATTATCTACACTGAACCCACTATAGTTTTTGGAAATATTGTGTGATGAAGCCACCGTCTCTTCGTAGTGCAACTCTCATATGAAAGAGATAAAAACGGTCTTTTCCTAAATAGTTGGCCGCAGAAATCTATCTTTCGTTTGTGGAAGTTTGGATTATCAAACTATTTTCCTACCCAATTAGTCACGTGACAGCACTAAATGTACATAACATTTTATGTATTAAATACAATTTTAAAAATTATTTTTTTCAAGCTAATACACTATCTGCTGCTACCTAGAGATAGGAAAATCTGATATGCTCGACTGCTGAGAGCTATTTCTGAGAGACAAAGCGATGCACTAACATCGATTTATATTTTTTGTATTTCCGACATAGCTTATACTTCTGGTGCTATATTATCCGTGCGACGCCTCTTTCACTAAACAGCAATGTAGCGCTTGAATGATGTAGCAGCCAGATAGGAACGAAAAAAAAAAAAACATTTGGAGGAAACATGAACAATCATGGCCTTTCCCAGCCAGTTTGTGTGTGCTGCTATGAATCATGACCTGGTGATATTCTTATGTGTTCCTTAGCAGATGCAAAGTTCCACTACCAGTCTTACATACCTTCGTTTATTTCTGAACTTACAGGGGTGGGAAAAGAAAGGAGGGGGGAGGGGAGGAGGGGGGTTGTGCTCTGTAACACAGTCTCTTTAGTCTGCTACCTGAAAGTCTGACAGTCCAACAGGACAAACAAAGATGCCCGATTCAACTTCATGCGAAGTTTTGATTAGGGAATTCCCAACGGTTACATCAAATGGTGTGCCCTTCCTGTGTTCGTTCAGTAGTCTTATTTTAGGGGGAAAATAATAGACCCACAGCCATCTAGCATGCATGTTGTAAAGGCGACTAGTTGAGATGTATTGCCACCGTTATCGCAGTCTAGCTGTAAGCTAGTACAACTTGCCAATATTCCTTTAAAGTGCGAAAGCAGAAGAAGAAATGACATACCCTGCTGATCGAAGCAAATGACATAGTCTGAAACATATATTAGAATATTTACACATGTAAGAAAACGTAAATTTCACCTTGACATTTTCCCTTCTTCCTTTATTAGTGTTCATGGTTGTGAATTCCAAAGGAAATTTATGTCTGTTCGTCCACTTCTGGACTTTGATCTTGTTTAGAATTTGGGTTTTTACTTGCACATCCATTTGACAGGTCTGGCTTATTTGTATGCAGACAGTCGGTTCCTGGTCTCTCAGGCAGGAGAATTCAGACATCGAAGGAAACACCCCTAATTAGTTATCTTTCACAACATGCTTTTTAGGGGGCCAGAGCGTGTATTCGTTCTCCTTCGATAATAGAACTCCGAACCTAAGCTGGATAGATTTCGATAATAAAGAGGTTTTTAACAAGTGTCTAACAAATAATCTATTATTTTTTTTTCTTCAGTATTATCCTTCAAGAAACCAACATACACGTGAACGCCACAAACGCAGCGATCAACAATTCATCTCTGCACGCTATTAGCAGATCTAAGTATGACAGCGATGATGAGAATTGATTCTTCACGTTATTGACTTTAACAAAAAGAGTCGGTTTGAGCTTTATGGCATTTTTGTTACAGCTTTTAGCGAAATGTATTTGGTTAATTTGTTTGCATAATTTCGCAGGACTTTAGGCGACAGTTTGCCGTTCTTGGGAATATTATTTGAAATATATGTCTGATATTTACAGATGTTAATGGTAAGAATTACTCTTCATGTAATCACGATTTTCCGCCGTAAATAGATACCTTTAAAAAAGTTTTCGCTTTTTAATGACCTATGTTAAAAAGAACTGTTTGAAGACAGCTTGTCGTTCTCGGGTCTTTTATCTTAAAATGTGCAGTATGTATCATATTTCAGGTATGGCTTGTTAGATAGGTAGGCAATATGTACCTGGTTTTATTTGGGGCCCCCTGCAAAAGCCAGGTTGGGGCTTCAAAATAATTAAAAATAAATGACAGTATATATATATATATATATATATATATATATATATATATATATATATATATATATATATATATATGGCTTGTTTACAGTAAAACAATGATGACTACCTACCATTTGAAGCTAATATTGAGTGATTATTTTACCATTTGATCGTGGATATTTTTTCTTTTTAGAAGATTTCATACCAGTTTTATTTATTACATAAAATGTAGCTAAATCATTATGGTTGCACAGATGCACTCCTCAATATATTGTTGCTGATTTGGAATTATACGATTTAATTTTTCTTTCCCGAGTCTTCAAGGGAAATAATCACATTATTGAGTAACATGCTAAGTGATTTTTTTTTTCCTTCCACGGAGGTTATTATTAAGGTTAGTTGCGTATCCTTTACAGGACGTTGCAGAACCAGCCCTAACAGCACCTGGCTGTTGTATGGTTTTTCTAGGCAAATTTACGTCCAGTAGTTTGCCATTGCTTTTTGGGCGGTCGGCTTTCTTGATATCACTGTCGAAACCAACGCACGGCGCATGGCCCGCAGCTGGGATCGAACCCGGCATCACGGCATTACAAAGCGATTGCATCGACTTATTCACAGAGCCGACTATTATTAAGAGCGTTTGAAAATATTGCGAGCCTGACAAGTTTTCTTTTCGGGCCATTTTGACAATTAAGGTTGTCTGCAACCTACCACTGTTGCCTTTGGGAATATTGTATGATAAGGCCCCAGTTTCATGCATGGTGCGACCCTCGTACTCTGTCCATCAACTAAGAGAACACCATACGAATAGAACCCGAGTATTCCGGGACTATGAATTTGTTAAACCACTTAACCCTAAGCCATAGAACCGCTCTTTGTCTACTCTGCTTTGTTTCTTTTGAATATATAATCCAATTGCGAGTTTCACAGTTTATTTTTCAACTAGCAAGTTTTTTTAATGTTTTTTTTTAAATCATTTAATATTGACATTAACATTTGAGTATTTTTTCCTGGAGACATATTTAATAGTTACATTATCTTAAAATCGCCTTTTGTGGTTTTTAATATACACATCTCCTGTATGCTGTTATTGCCACATAAGGCCTAGGGGATCTCCATCGCTGTCGACCTGCTGCTTTTCTGATTACCGTATCCCACGTCATTGTAAATGTCATAATTTCCTTCTCTAATGTCCCACTGGATTCCACGTCTCGTTTCTTCCGTATGCCGCTAATCAGAGATCTGTTCTTGCCAAAGTGTCACGAGGTCTTCAGCAAACATGTCGAAGCCATCTCCACATTCTTCCTTGTATAAAGTATACCAGTGCTGAACATTTTGGTTTACTCGTCATTTCTCAATGTGATCCTGTCTGACGAAAATCTTTATAGGATTATTTTTAGACGTTTTTTTTTTTTTTTGAAAAATCTCTAGTTTTTGCATAATTAAAGCTGCAATTTTTCAACATTCATTGTTGTGTAATAGTATTTCTAAAATGTTGCTCTTGTATAATCTGTTATTGACGTTTTAATATGTCTGCGTATATTTTTTTAAACTGTTTGAAAAATCATTTGCCAGTAATTGGTTTAGTGATTTTTTATTTTCATAATTAATGCAGTAGGGTCTACCCAGAAAATTAAACTGGTACCAAATGTTGTATGAATTTTCTTTCTAGTAACTGTGGAGAAAAAAGGGATGAGGAAAGGAAAGGGTCGTCTCACTATAAGCAGTCGAGACGCTGATTATGTGAAAATTGGAACACATGGAAGCCCCAGCAGTAATAGCTGCCACGAAACTACCTTTTTTTTTTTTTTTTTTGGTTAAATGATGCAGAATAGGCTATGTAATTGCAGCTGTCGTGGCAAATTATATGCTTGTCGACCACAAGGTCTTGGGTTCGAATTCAGACTGATTTAAAAAGGGTTAAAAGAAAACAACAACCCTCCTCGCTCTCATACTAACTCCCTCTAATGAATAACAAGAAATTCCCTGGAAAGTAAAAACAACAGACCTGTTGCAGACCACATCACCCAGTTAGTGTTGATTCATCTATGAAAGTATAGATTTTACATCATAAAACCAACTGGCTTTAAAAAAAAATCTTTTAACTTGTTATTCGGGATTTTCTTAATCTAGGCGTTTTTCATTCTGGATATGAGGTTAGAATTGGAATTTATTAACAATCAAACACATAAAACCCGAGGAGGACACATAATCCTAGAACGACTACATGCCATTTTCTATGAGCTGTACCGGATCATGGCCTGGTTACATTCTAATATTCAACCCCACAGATGTCAAGTTCCAGTATAAGTGTTGCACACTCGGTTAGTTTTTGAAGTTGGAGGGGTGAGAGCTGTATATTACTGGAGATGTTACATTTAGGAACAGGTCATAAGAAATGTCCACATGGAAATATCCGACGGAAGCAAGCCATTTCAATGATCTGTTGACCTGATCGCTAATACAATAGATTTAAGATTGAGAACTCAATAGTCCTGACTATTCCCAACCAATTAAGCAAGCAACCAACTTCTGAATGTGTGAGTATGTGTATGTATGTGTGTGTGTGCGCGCGCGCGCGTGTGTGTGTACAACAAAGAATATTTTTATATTTGAAAATGTGGTTTTTTTTTAATTTTGTTGTTTTATTATTCATTTATCAAAAACGCCCTTGGATCCCAGGGTCATCCCATCCTTAAATAAGTACAAACTAAAGTTACGGGAAGTAAATTATACCCACGTGATTTTGACCACATCACCGAGTGCCCTTTGGTCTATATAGGTCAAGCACTATATGCGCATTAGCTATGAAAACGCGGAAAAGTGTTGTTTAATTTACGTATTCTCATAAATGTAATGTGTTTGTGCCATCCATCAAGATATGAGACACTAGCGAATGATAATGCACTATGACAAGGTAATAGAGATAAGATTGAGCTGTTCGACGTATAGTCTTATTTTTTATTACTACTGACATTATTTTATTTTGAGCGGCCGTAGTATAGTAGCCAGACTCGCGCATGCGGGTCTCAAGGTCGTGGGTTCAAATCCGAACGGAGCTAGACTTTTTCTTTCAAAATTGACCTTAGCTCCCAAATCGAGCCAGGCTTGAAAGGGTACTAGGTGGAGTTCAGAGAAGTAAAGGCTGCCGTCGTGTTGTTGACCAGATCATTCGGCGAGTGTCGATTGTCTATAAAATAGGTATAGACCTGTATGCCAAATAAGCCTAAAGGCCTGGAAAATGGGGTTTGAGTTTACTTATTAGAACCTCGGTTTACGGACCTTATATTGTTTCAAAGTTCTGAAACCGAAACAGTTTTTCTGTAGTAAAACATAGAGCTTCAGAACTCAATTAAACTACTTATATATTTTAACCTTTTTAAGATAAATGAGATACAATTAAAAAGGAAATTGATTGAAATATGTACAATATTATTGCATGAAAGAATGAGCACAATACATTAACACATTTTGAGACAAATTTAATCCCTCATTAGGTGTGGGACAGAGGAAGGTTTTTCTGCTACTTCTAAAAAACGGTCCAGTTCTTCCTTGACAAGGTTATTCCTGCGCATTCTGAAGATAATCCATTTAGAGACAATCGAAATTATTACTACAAACCCCCCGTGTGGGTTCCTGGCTCTACTATGGGAAAAACAAGAAGAAACCCACTGCCTACCCAAAAGCATGTCGTAAGAGTCCACTAATAGGGAGCTTCCTTCGAAGCCGGAGTGCATCTGCCTGAGAGGCAAGGAACCAACAGTCTGCATTCAGATCTGTCAAACGGATGCACACGAAACACTCAGTTTCTGGAACAGGACTGCAGTCCAGAAGTGGACGAACAACCATAACTTTCCGCCGGAGTTTACAGCCAGTGAACGCGAAGAAAAAGAAGAAGATTACTCAATCAATCAATCAGGTCCCGTCTCCACAATGAAGGTTGGCTGCAATGGATCTCCAACAAGCCCGGCCTCTTGCCCTTGATGTACATTCACTCATACTGCTGTTCGTCCATCTCTTGATGTTATCCGCCCACTTGTAACGCTGTCTGCCTTTTGCTCGCCTACCTTGAACCTTTCCCTCTAGGATGATCTTTACAATACTGTTATGTCTTTTAATGTTGCCAAAATATTTCACTTGTCTCTTTTTTATTTCACCTAGCAACTCTCTTTTCATTTCCAATTTCCTCAGTACCTCTGTATTTGATAGCTTTTGTTTCCATGAAATGCGACCTAATCTTCTGTATATTCACATCTCCAAAGAATTGATACGATTTTCCAGTTGTTTGTTCATTGTCCATGTCTCTGCCATAAGGTAAGGTTGAGAATACATAACATTTGACAATTCTCATTTTTATTAATTACTACAAAATTCAATAAGCATAAGATACGAACTACAGGAGCTATAGCAAAGTCCTGGAAAATAGCAGCAGCAATACCAGTTCTGAAATTAGGGAAAGAGGAAAATAATATAGAATTATATCGACATATATCCTTTGTTAACATCTCATCTAGGTAAAATTCTGGAAACTATAATAAATCAGAGACTAAAGTTTTTCTTGAAAAAGAATAACTTATAAATAAGTCT